CGGGGTGTCCAGCCCAGAACCTTTCTTGTCAGGCAGGTCCTCAGTAAAGGAAACTCGGGGTGACCATGACGAGGTTCACCCGCAGACTCTGAGGGGACACAGGCCAGGTGCCCGGAGTGCTGGGGCCGGGGCTGTCCTGAGGCCCAGGTGCCACAAGGTCATGCTCCTGGAGCTCTTGCTTATTTACTATTACAAGCTGGGGAAGGGAGCTGGGGGGCATTTTTCAGGGCCGTTTGAAGACCCAGCCCCTGAGAGTTCTCAGCTCCAGGCCTTCCATTCTGTCAGCGCTTGGCCTGTGGTCCATGTTCCACGTCTAGTCCTCCCCCAGAGCTCAGGGGAAGTGGCTGGTCCTGTCAGCATCTGGTGTGGGCTCTGACTCTGGCTGTGGAGCCACCTACAACTGCTGCTGCTGCTTTGCAAACGGTACATCTACATATCTTATTTCCTCTTTTTCACACCATCTCCCCACCTCGGACCACCATTCTCCCTGCCTTCCCAGGCCCAGACTTATGGGTCACTGGCTAAGTGAAAATCAGCTTATTTCTGGCCATGAATGGACGTTACCTGTATACTGATCCAGTGCAGGGCAACTGGCTCTTCCATGAGAGGAGAGCTGGTTGTGGCCTTTCCCTGTGTTAGTGACAAGCTTTGTGGGTTTTTTCGGGTCCTGCCTCCTCAGGAGGCAGCTTAGGTGTTTTGTGGCTGTTGTGCCCAGCAGCTAAGCTGTGAGGCTAATTATAAGTTGGCCTTGGGGTGCTTTCAGTGATGGAGAAAACTCCGAGGCAACCAGGATCTGGGTGGCTCACTTCCGCACTGCACCTTAGGTAAAGGGGACCTCTTCACCAAGCACGTGTGGGACACATGGCGTTGCAAGGGCTGGTGGACCCAGTGGCCAGAAATGTTAGAGGCCAGATAGTTCTCCCCCTGGACTGTGCACAACACGAAGGGGCAAGTTTTTCCTAGGGCTGCTCCGGGTACAGGTGAGGTATATTCATTACACCAAATGCTAGGGGTTGCAGTCGTTGTCCTGTTCTGGATGTGACGCCCAGAAGACAGTGGGTCTTGCAGTGAGGACTGGGTGAGTGGCCAAGCGCAGTGCACACTGAGGGTGTCTGTCCCTGGGTGAGTGTAGGTGAGCTACCTCCTCGAGAGTTAACCGATAACCTGTTGCAAAAGGCTATGATGGTGTCACATGAACGCAGGTAACTGCCCTCTTCCTCCCAGGGATCTTCACGGCTCCGTACGACGGGCGCTACCTGATCACAGCCACCCTCACGCCTGAGAGGGACACGTACGTGGAAGCTGTCCTGTCGGTCTCCAATGCCAGTGTGGCCCAGTTACACACAGCCGGCTACAAGAGAGAATTCCTGGAATACCACCAGCCCCAAGGGGCCTTGCACACTTGTGGGGGCCCCGGGGCATTCCACCTTATCGTGCACTTGAAGGCAGGAGATGATGTCAACATAGTAGTGACTGGGGGCAGGTTGGCGCACACGGACTTCGATGAAATGTACTCCACGTTTAGTGGGGTTTTCTTATATCCTTTCCTTTCCCACCTCTAGGGCACTGGGGAAAGGAAAGGGGAAAAAAGAGTTGTAAGAACTGGAAAACTTTAATATATTCAGTTTATGTATGTAACTGGAGCAATGGTCTAGTTTTCTGCAGATGTCCCCACCACCTCCCCCAGGATAAAAAGCCTGACCTGGCTGTGGAGGCCACCACGCCTTTGACTTCCCCAGTAGGCTGCAAGGAGTGCAACACATGGCTAACATGGCCGCCGACTTCTGTCACTCTGGACACGCCTCTACCTGTAAGCTAGGTCCTCCCGTGTCTCCCAGCTCGGGCTCTGCCCCGATGGGCCTGAGCTGGGCCTACAGAGTGCCAAACGAGGACGCTTCAACTGCTGCTCTGTAGGCCTAGGCCGTAGGCTCACGTCCTGCTGATGGCGAGGGAGGAGCTGCTGGGTCCAGGTCTGGGAGGAGGCGGGCTGGCCAAAACCGATCCCCAGCTAGTCTTTACTGGAGAGCACCTGTCACCAGTCTTTGTGTTTATTTATACTGCATGCAGGAGAGAAGTTTAAACACTGAAGTGCTGAAGTGGCGCTTGCTGCCACACAGAGACCTGGGGTTCACAGTCTGGGCTGTCCCAGGTTTGGTTCACCACTGCTCACCCCGGGCCTCTGCTCAGCTGTGAATCGATGCACAATAGACTCTTTGTACAGCTTGTTGGCTCCTTGAATGACATGTACAATTTAAGTGCAGAGACAGGGAGTGTCAATAAAGACGTAAAACCACTAACCCACTTCAAGTTACTTAAATCTGGTGCCTTATGGATTGAGAGTTGTTGCGAAAAAGCAAACTGCAGAAAGCTAACTGGCTTTTTGATGGCTGTAGAAAGTAAGCTTGAATAAATTAATCTCAACCACATAACTTATCCCTCAGCATACAAGATGTACACTTGGTTCATTTTTGCTTGTGAAGACAGACCAGATGTGTTTGGAGGTCAAGGCTGCCGTGTGAGCCCTGCAGCTGGAGGGGCTCCTCCAGGGGATGCTGAGAATTCGCATCTAATCAGCAGCTGCCCAGGCTAATGAGATCGCTCGCTGCCCAGCCCACATAGATGCAGTTTTAAGAACTCTTGGGTTCCTAGGCAACAGGAGGCCCAACATAAAGCTGAGCACACGCTGAAAGCTGAGCTCATCTGAGAAAAGCAGGCATCTTCCTGTGGAGAGCACGTTCTGTTACAGAGAAGCCCAGGCACGTCACTCTCTAACCAGCAGCCACAGAAACCTCTAGGCAGACCCTTAGTACTAGGTAGTCTCTGCTCACCAGGCTGGTAAAATATGTTGGTCAATCAAGAGCCACTGGGGGGGGGGGGCAAGTCCCCTAGAGTCCCAGGGAAAAATGTGGACCATAGACAAGTTTCCTTGGCCTGAGTCAAGCCACCAGATACTCTTATGCTGTAAAAATTGCTTTGAGTTTCCAAGAATGCTTGCAAATGAGATTCCAGGGTGACCACTGCACATTGCAGAGGAGTCTTCTTCCTTACCTCCCTCAGCTAGGGAGCAGTGACCAAGAACCTGAGGGTTTGCTATTTTAGTATTTTAAAGTCGGGGCCTCTCTGTCCAGGAATGGAACGGGGAGGGGTGGAGAGAATAGCATTCTCATTTCTCCAGCTGGGGAATTGGCTAGAGGTAGCTGTCGGAGTATTGCTGGCTTCCTGGAAATGACTCATGGGAAAACACACCAGTGCAAGGCAGCATTTTCAGGAAGACCCAGTTGGCACATGCATGTGGTTTTTGCCCTCTCTCCTGCACTCCCCCTTGTAAAGACCATATTCGGTGCCAGAGGCGACAAATGTGCCACAGGCGGAAAGGCAGGGACCAGAAGGCAGCGACTACTTTTTTCCCCTACTCCATAGATGGATGATTCTCCAAAGCACCGAGCAACACTTGATCCTGCTCTCAGTGCATCCTGACAACTCATTTACTGAAAAAGGTGATTTCAGCTGTGTGTCCAAGATAAGCAAAGTAAGTCTAATTAACTATAGGCAGATCCTGCGTTTACATCAAGATGACACAGGACAAAAAGGGGATCATGGCCCATTTAGGAGACAGCTTCTTTCAAAAGGGAAAGGCCATCCTTTTATACAGAGAAAAAATGTACTGAGCTGCAGGAGCTCTGCAGCAGCCCCTTTCAGAAGTCAGCAGCCCTAAGCTGTGTGCCTGCAAGGGTGATGAATGACCCAAGCCCTAGGACTTAATCAGGCTCAGGGTTACAACTTCCGAAATAAAGGAGTTGTTGCTGAGATAAAGGTCAGGGCACTTCTTAGGTAAGCAGAGACAGGACTGGGACATTTTTTTGTCCCCTGCATGAAATATTAGCAAAGGGCCTCATTTAAATGATTAAAAACAACAAAATGATCCCAGCAATAAAGAATGCAAATCAATGCAAACTGCATTTCAAATCATTTTCATGTTAGCCCATTAATCTAGTTTTCTCAGTGATCCTATCATCTTTCCAACTGTATCTCACAATTGATTTCCAGTTTGAAAGAGGTATTTGTGATCAGAGACACACCCAAGTCCATCCTTGTAGATTTGAAACACAGCTTTGCATATAGTCACTTTCTAAACATGAGTTTTCCCTGTACTGGCCTATCAAAGGGAAGGAAAAAGGAAGGATGCAAACTCTAAGGGGTGCAGAGTACAGCAGAAGGAAGTTGCAGTTGAGACAGGCCCTGGGAGAGATGGAACTCACACTGCTTCTACCTGAAGAGCTCGAAGCTGTTCGTAGTAAAAGCTATTTCCTTTATCATCAGCCTCTCTGAGCACTTCATTTCTCTTCCCAAAGTACACCCCAAATAGCCCCGGTGGCCTTCCCTTGACTTCTCACCCAGCCATCGTTACATAGCAAAGAAACATGGAATGAAAGCTTTACCACACTTGAAGGCACACTCTCAAGGAAGACTTTCGGGATTCAACATGTTTGGCACATGCTACATCTGGCAGGGCCTGGCGATCTGGAGGGAATAAAAAGATGCTCATTTAAATAATATGTGGGATGTTTTTTTTGATCCAAGATCACATTGATGCTCCTAAGCTGATGAAAACATCAGGATTGCTAAGTAGCATTCACCGTGAAGATAGGTTTGATGAAAGGTGGGGTGGTTCTGAGCAAGATTCTCGGGGGACCCCTGAAATGATGAGGGGTGGGATGGAAACACGCCTAGAAAATACTGGTGAGAACAAACCAGAAATTACATATGTATGAATGAATCACTCCCTGGCAAAACCTACAAAGCAAGAGGTTAGTTCCTGAGGGTGTAGCCTCACTTTTGGAGTCAGGTTTTATAAAAATAAGCACCAGAAAGAAGTCCTTTCTGTAGACAAATTTAAGTGTCAGCAAAGATCAAAATGCTAATTTATGGAAATTATCAATTTCTGGCAAGAGTACAGAGAAGATAGTTTAAATGTCCTCTGAAGGAAAGAGTCAAATGCATTCAGTTTATGTTTGTTTATTGTTGTAACATTTTGTTTTGAACATCAAACACTGCACCAAAATATGAGCCATTTATCTTAAGACAATTGTCTGCCATAACTAAGAGTACTGGAGTGATGTTTACAATTAATTTCTGATAACTTAAAACTTATTAATGGCACTGCTATCTAATAATCAAATACTTCATCATAGACCATAATTATTAAATTAAAAGAGCGAAGTTTCCCTCTCCCTTTCTTACCTTCAAAACAAACAAAAATATAGTTTTCACCTGGAAAGAGCACTTAGTTGAAACAAGAATTCAATTTTTAATGTTTCATTAAACCCAGCATGCTCTAAAATAGGGAAAAACAAGGCTTCCCAGAGTAAACATGATACTGAAAAGATGTTGAAATTCCCTGGAAAAGTCTGTTTTCATCAACTTGCAAAAAGAGAAAAAGTTTACTCCTGACCTGTTTTAGGTCTTGCCTGCACCTTCCAGAACGGGCTCAAGTACCTCCCGTCATTTACGGGCTGTTGTCCCTTCGCTGTTCTCCCTGTGACCGTTAGCAGCTTTTATTTTTGGACATCACAGTAGTAAGGTTTTGTTTTTCCAGTTGAAAACTATGCAGATGTGTCTAAGCACAGCACACAGAGCTCACACACAGGGCACGTGGGCCCAATACGTGCCTGTCCTGACACCTGGGAAGGTGCAGAAGCCGATGCCATGCCGCTCAAGCTTAGCACGCACACAGCAAGGCAGATACTAAAGTCAGGATGAGTTGGAAAGAGGAAAAGGGGCCGTGACCATTTCACCAGTGAAGCAACCGAGAGAATGACTGAGAAGAGCCCAGTTTGCCTGCTGTCTCCCCGAGATACTGTCTGTCCGTTGCCAAAAGCAGCATGAGGCTGGTGCTTCTTCATTCACTCACCCAACACTGTAAGCGTCTGTGTACAAACACACTCAAGGGCATCTCTCTTTCACAGAAAGAACACATGTCATTTGTACCAAATGGCAATGGATTTTCAGCACAAACAATACTTTCATGACACTATAGTAATAATCATCTACTTTTCAGCAAGAGGGACTCCTTTAAATAAGGAAAAAGACTCGTTAATTAGTGTATACTCACTGGATCAGTCTGCAGTGACAAAATGACAAAGTTTAGTGCTTATGGACACTGAGACAGGAGACAGGGGTTCCCAGGAAGGCCCACATGTCCAGAGAAACTGTCTAGTCAAAAACTCTTTAAAGGACAACCTAAAAAGGACTACAGAAGGTGTATATTCAGATTTTCCATACTGCACATATGCAAAAAGGCCCAACTAAGCTCAGGTTAAACACATAAAGCTCATGTTCTTCTAAAGCAAATATGGCTGATACACTGACAGCATCTATGTATTAAAGTAACTACACTCTATTAGGAATTTAATCCACTAACTGGGCAGAACTTCATATAAACAACCTAATTTCCCTAACCTACTGTACATAAATAAATTCATTAAACAATTAGGCCTTGACCTATGCGAGGTGGAAGGTTTGCCCTGGAGGAAGTGTGTTCCCCTTCTGGGAACTGCACCTCCAGGTTCTGCCACTGAGAACCGCATTCAAGGCCCTCACCATGGTCTTGGCATCCAACAGCACTAGGAAAAATGGCTGAGCTAAGTCAGGGACTTTCAACTCTCCAATCTGGAAAAAAAACTGCCCAATTTCTCCATCTTTACATCAGTATTATTTTGGGTGGAGCAAACTAAAACAAGGAGAGCCCAATACAAGCACAGAGGAAAGCAGAGGTGGGCATGGAAACCGTCCTGCGCGGGGTGGTGCTTCTGCTCTGGAACTTGGCTCACTGCTTTCTCACCACCAGAGGCCTGTGTTTGGTCACTCTGATCCCCTGGAAGTCTCCTAACAGTTCTCTTGATTTTAGTACTGAGGTGATTGTCAACACCCGGCCTGATCTCTTCAAGCTCTCCCAGCTCTAGAGGGACTTAGGAGACAGAACCTTTCCCTGGTGCTGTTTGCTTGGACTCTGACATGAGCTCATTACAACCAGGTTGGGAAACTGAGCTGCAGGCAGAAGGATGGAGAAAACGACCCTCCACAGGAGCCACTGCAAGTGCACATCTGCATTTCCAAGGCCTCCCTGAAAACAGAGCTGTTCTTTGCTGTTTAACCAACTCCCACTGTTAGTCCTATTCTACAGACATCCTGCAAAGCTGTTTCTTCTGGCTAGGTTCAAGACCTAACTTAAGGGTCTCCATCACGGAGCAGTCACAGAGGAGGTGGCGATGACCTAAGGGGTGTTCTTCCCCAGGAGCCCACATCTGTGGGGCTGGGATGAGTGGCCTGGGCCCCACCCAGCAGCCATCCCGCTTCAGTGCACAGGGAAGAAGTCCACCGAAGAAACGTGCGCAGGCGGCTGGAGCCAACATCACTGACTGCGCCTGGAGCGTTTCGGTGGACCCTGATCCCCTGAAGAGAGCCCTGGTTTTAGAGAGAAACACTGTCAACTGCCCAGCTGAAATTATAACACTTTACTTTGTGCAATATTTTGGTCCCCTCTTACTTAGCTTCTTTTTCCTCCCTTCTACATTATGCAATTAAAAGAGCACCCAGCACACAACTCTACACAGCGTGTGTGTGGAACAACCTGTGACAGGAGCCCAGGCCTCCGACTTCAGGTCCGAGCTCCCCTCACTTCTGCTGGGGCACGGAGTTGCAACGTCACTGAGCCCAGGAGGGTGAAGGAAATGGCAGTTCCAGCTCCAGGGGCTCTTCCAGTCCCTGCTGGTGCCTGGCTGTCAACAGGGGTCTTGTCCCGCACCTGCGGCTGGGAGGGAAGCCCAATGTCCTCTGTCCAGCAGAAGTGCCGGTCACCTTCCCTTGCTGCAAGGCAAGCGACTGAGGACCTCCCCCTGGAGGTGAAGCCTCAGGCCAGGTCATCCAGGTCCACTTTGGGGATTGGGTCTCGCCAGTAGCAGAAGGAACTGAACTCCGGGCATGGAAAGGCAGAATTCTGTTCCTTATTGAGAAGTGGGAACACGTGCTCCACGAGCTCACTCAGTCTGTGATACCTGGAAGAAGGGATTGGTGAAGAAACGCAAACTGTTACTGTCAAGTTGATCTAAGAGCACAAGATTGTAGGTTGTAAAGCTAGTTATTCAGGTTTCTCAGATGGGAAGGATCTGAAACAGGCCTCCATCACTTCCTGGGGCACAGACTTCCTCTTCAAAGTCTAGGAGAATTAGTATTCCCATAAATACAGGAGAAAACCCCCAAAGAGGAAAGCCTCCAGAGGCAGGTGCAGTTCTTATACTGAGTGAGGCCTGATCCTTAATATCTGTCTGTCCCCAACGTCACCCCAGCTGCAGGGTGCTAGGCTGGGAAATGGGAACATACTTACGATGACTTATTTCCTTTGGTCCTTTCTTGTATTAATTCACCCTTGGGGTTCACAGTGAATATTCTGCAGTCTGGAACGCCAACTTGTGTGTAAGCATATACATCCTGGGGAAGAAAACATCAAGCAGGGTGATTACAGGGAGAAGAAATTGGGAGCTGCTTCTCCAGTTCCTTGCGAGCTAGTATTGCACCAACAGAAGACTGTCTATGGAAAACACGCCGAGCTGGGCATTGAAATTTTCCATTGAAATTGAGCTTTAGACAAACCCAAAGTAAGAGTGGAGTCACACTCAACCCAGAAGGTGCTCGGGGAATCAGGAAATGTGGGTGCCAAGGAGACACCAGGGATCCTGGAGCAGAAGGGGTCCCACTACCTGCCAGAGGCCAGGAAGCAGCCCCTTCCATACATCTGGAATCTGAGGGACCTTCTGAGGGTAGGCAGGTTGGGGAAGCATTAATGAAGGGTGAGCACTCATGCCATGGTTCTGGGGCGGATCCAAGGACATGGCTTAAAACATGAGTCGGAACCCTCCAAGGAAATGGAACTGAAATCACAGAAAGTGCCCTTCATCACACACCAAAATTCTGGGGCAGATCTCCAGTTACAGGACCTCCCCAATAACTGTAGAAATTTGAAACAGATAAAGTAAAATCATATTTAGCAGAACAGACATTCATTTTGCCCATAAAATTCATTAGAGAATTATGACATGGCTATACCCTGAAAGTACATTCCTCTGAATTTTACTCATATTAGAATGTATAGCCCAGAGCAGACACTTACATTTGGACGGTTTCCAAAGGCAGCATAGAAGGGCTGCTTAGATGGGGCAAACAGATTCTTGATATCGTTCAGACACTCAATTTTGAATTTCTCTGGTTTCTTTTCTATCACTTCCCTAGGGAAGAAAAAATTTCAAATACAGTCACCAAATTCAAAGTGGTAGTTTGCCCCTGGTGTTTGGTCCTGGAAAGATTTTAGTGCTTATAACCACCCAATTTTTTTAATCCTTTGTACCTGGTATCTTTCTCTCTCCTTCTCTGCCAGTCAATCTGATGACTATGAAAATTTGATGGGGTGTGGGGAAGGAGAAAACGGCCACTCCTAGAACTTGACTCTCTTTGACCATGCTTGACACAGACCAGGTGAGCTGTGATTTAGAATGCTATGGGGCAGCCAGAGAACTAAGACAGACACAGAAGCTCTGAAACAGATACAAGCCCTTCCAAAGAGCCTGACACCCAGCCTCGCAGTCCATTCAGCCCCCCCCCCCCATGACGCACTCAGAAGTGCTGCCCACCAGGGAGGTACCTGTGGAAGGCAGAGAACAAGCTGCTGGGGGACAACATCAGAGGGCCCCGGGGCAAGATCGTGCCCTTGTCATTGACCCAGTGCAGGTAGCCACGGGTCATGTCGGCCATGCCGATGGCACGGGCGGAGCAGTACAGAAACTTGTAGCCGTTCCTGAAAGAGAACGTGTCCTGTTTAGCCCATTGTGTTTTGGCTGAAGGTGGAAAAAAGCACTTTTCTTTTAAAAGATCCAAATAAAGATCCTCTCACTTACTGTGAAAATCAAATTCTTGCATTTAACAGGGAAATAGGATTATAAAGATTTAATCTTTCCGTGGAAAACACCATGGGGAAAAAATGGAGGAATATGCAGCTAGGGATTATGCTAAATTTATGAGTATTGCTGGATCTCCAGCATCTAGTCCATGAAAGCCAGATTACACAACAGACAAAAATCTTGGATTATCTTTAAATTATATGCTATAAAGGAAAGATACAAAGGATTTTATTTATAAAGACAATTTGTAGAATGCAAACCATTCTGTAAGCCAAAGAGCAAAATTATACCTGGCTAACTGATATAATTTTCATATTAGGGTATTTTCAACTAATGCTTAAGACATTGTAATTTTTCAAATCAATTTAACTTGTATGTATTAGGGTCCCACAAAGGCCATGGCACTGTTCTCTCAGTTGCACTGGCATTGAAGACCCCATGGGTGAAATGTTTCCCCCCTCAAAGAAATACCCAATTCAAAAATACCCAATTAATAAGCCAAAAATTAAAATTGGCTCTTGTTAAATTACAGCTAAAAATTCAATTATAGCTATAACAATAAATATAGGTAGTGCCTAAAATTCACAGCGTTGTGAGAATGAGATGACCTAGGTTAAGCATGTACCGCGATGCCACGCACACAGCTCATGTTCCATAAATAGTATAGTGGCTGCTACTTTTCTTAGTGTGAGGCTCTAGGAAAGAAGTGGGCAGAAGAGCAGGAGTAGCTGGATCACAAACACACGATTTCCAAGGGCTGGCTGACGCGTGCTATTTTTTCTGTAGTTCTTAAAGCAAAGTTCTAGCCCACTAGAGTGCATTAGCAGGTGGGATGGGAGACCTACTCGTTGATGGAATGGTAGAGCTTTGCGATACCCTGATGAGTCCAGTCTTTACCCAGCTGTGGAAGAATTTGTCCCAAGGCATCAGACCTAAGGGGATAGAAATAGGAAAAGGTATTAGGAATCAAGCATAGAAAGCCAAGTATTTTCCTCTTCCTGCTGAAAACACTGGGTGCAGGAGGGGTGAGTAGGGACAATCTATAAAGATGATTTCATCATGACCTGTACAACAGTGAGACAGTGTCCTACAAATACACTCACCGAGGAGTGTCTGAGAGTAGAATCAGACATGAGAGCCAGCAGTTCATTTTCAGAGATAATTTACTACACATCCTTTCTTTCTCCTCTTAGTCTCAATAGCTTTTTAGTGTTTTTTTTTTTTAATACCAAAATTTGGAGACCAAACAACTAAATCTTCTGTAAGTTATTTATTTATTTATTTATTTAGCTGAGCCATCCTGCCACCTGTTGGCAGCTCAGCTTGGGCCGTGAATCGAACCGGTGACCCTGTTGCTCAGAGTTCGTACTCTTGAGCGAGCTCTTAACCAACTGAGCCACTCGGCCGGCCTCCATAAGTTATTTTTGACGTTACATTTATAGGGCTCCACCGATTTCCTCCATCCATAAAATGACCCCATGTGGACTGCACTCAGGACGTCTCAGTGCATATAGTTAAAAAGCCCTCATGACAGTGGCCGAGTGCTGGGTGCCTGCTGAGGGGGCCCCGCTGGCCTCAGTGCACACTGACTGCACCTCCTCTCCCTGCCATCCACCACGGGCTCCTGCTTACTTGGTTATTGTGCCGTCAATATCAGAAATGATGACCTTGTCATTCCAGTTCCACAGGTAAATGGTCCCTGCACAGCGGCAGGTACCTTGATACTGGGTTGTAATACTAAACACAACATCATTTGGGCCATCTTGAAGCTTCAGTTTTGCCTTTTATAAAAAGTAGAAGAATAAAGAAAATCAGAGGCAGAATTTTAAAAACTAATGGTACATCACTTTGATTGAATTACATGCAACTATTAAAAGTCACATTTTCCAGTAACATGTAGTCACTCAGAGATTGCTTAAGATATAATGTGAAAAAGAATCCGAATCTCCAAAATGTATACGAATAAAGAATGGGAAGAAATATATTAACATAACTGAAAAAAAACAAAATTAGCTGAAAATGTACAGTTTGGAACACAGTCTAAATGTTTACAAACCTGGCTGGTGTCTGTCGCATTACCACACACCTGGCCCAGAGCTGCGCAAATGGCTCCCTCTCAGTGAACTGGGCTGAGGGAGCCATCACTGCACCAGTATTTGGGATTCCAGAAGACTTTTCTGATCTCCCCAAACACAAAACCTCGCTGCCCCTCCTCCCTACCTGAGACTGTCCTGGGACACAGCAAGGCCATTTCACACTAAAAATAGGTGAAAAGTCAGGGAATGGGAAAAAACAGGAAAGGGGAAATTGTGTCTAAATAAGAAAACATTATTTCTCTATTATTGTGGCTCTCAATAGACAGTAGGTAGCCCAGTGATGGGTTAGCTGTGTAAGACTCATGGGGGAAATAGGTTAAAAATACAGATTCCTCAGTTCACTCCCAGAGACTGAAGTGGAAGGTCTGGGTGGTGGAGAAAGCTGTGACCCAGGTCCCCAGGTGATCCTGGTGGTCCCCGAGGGTGGGGCATCGTTCTACTGTATGTGAACATTTACATAACCACACATTGTGTTGTGTGTGTGAGGTTTGGGATCAGGTGGACAGAAGACGAAGCAGGTCAACTTAAACAGCTACTAAGATAATCTGACTAGATCCACAGATAACACACTACTCACGATCTGGTCCGAGGAGAGGCGAAGAGACTTCTTATACGAGGTTGTGCTGCTGTGGCTTGGGGGTTCCATGGGGATGGGGTCCACTTTGATTGACTCTTCAAGCTCCTGTGACCCCTCGTCACTGGATGAGTCATCCTCGGCCGGCCTATTCAACATCAACCCAGTTACTGAAGAGGCACTAAGCAGGCTGTTTCGTTGATGAGAACTTTTCAATTAGGATTGAGAAGGAAGTGATCCTAAATCCATTCTAGGGATGGGAAGGGTTGTTCCCTCTGCTGCTCTCCCACATGCAGCTTCATGACTGAACCTTCATTTCATTAAGTGAGAAGGCCACCCTCCTCCTCCCTCTCATGATAGGCTAGCGGTTACTTTCTGGTTATGACTGGGCATTTTCTGCTGTGACCAGTGAATGCTACTAGGTCTACTTACTTGTTGAAGAGGATATGCATGTTTCAAAAGGTACAAATTAAAGAAAATAATTGCTTGTGTTGATTTAAAAAATTATTAAGAATGATTTTCTACACCCCTTTTAAAAGAAGGGGGTAAAGAGTTAGGGAACGGAAGGAAAAAGAATTTAGGGAAAGTACACAGATGTCAGAAACAAGAATGGGGTAGATGGCGGCGTCTCCTCTCAGGGCGAGTGTGCCATAACAGACCCACCCCCATCTTTGAATTCTCTTTCATATCTCCCTTTTGTGCCTGACAGGAAGCCAGGGAGCAGGAGCGCCGGAACAGCCCATCTTAGGACTCCTCAAGAGTCCCTCTTCCCAAAGGTCTACCCGTCACAGGCATCCGATTCCACGGCTCCAGGGAGCAAGGTACTTAGGAGGTAGTGATGAGTCTATTTACTCCTCTAGGCGGATAATGTCTTTATCATCTGCTAGCTAACTGAGTGGCACCAACAAGCTACTTATTCACATGTAGGAGAAAGATGTTTCTGACTAAGAATTAAAACAAAATTGTCAAAATCAACTTGACCAAAGCAGGTGTAGCCCAAGTGCTGTAAGCCTGAAGGACAGGGCACCCCCACCTGCCACTGGCTGGCTCCTTTGTGCTGGACGGCAGGTCACTGGTTGGTGGCACCTTAGATTTCCCTTCATTGGCCTCTGGCAGCTAAAAAAGCAAGACAATAATGGCAGAATGTAATTTTTTCCCCTAGTGACAAGCAGAAATTCATCAGCAGCCTTCTCCAAGAATGAATAAAACTGCTTTCTGAAGCCACAACTTAAAAATGCTCAAGAAAACAGACTTTCTCTAGCTTGAGTCAAAGGACCAAAATCTGAGATAGAAGTCATATACTGCTGCACCAAAGCTGTCACTACAAAGCCAGAAGTAAAAATTTTAAAAGAGCACCATTTCAAGGTCCACACTAATTTGGTCCACAGCAGGGACACCAGGACTACAGAACAGAAGTGCCTGATACCACCTCCTCCTGTGCAGGAGGATAACAAGCTCTGGTTCTATCTGGAAGGTAATGCAGCGAAATGGAAAGTACACAGGCACTGGAGTCAAACCCTAGCTCCATCCCTCACCTGTTAGGTGCCTCCGATCAAGGAAGGCACTTCCCTCTTTGTGCTCCAGTTTCCTCACCTGTACATGATGGAAACTCAAATATTTATACTGCTGGGTTATAGTAAAGATGAGAGGTAATGTATGTAAAGCACCGAGCATCATATCTGCATGTAGCCACTGTTCAAAACTGGTGACTGTTATTGTAAAAGAGCATTATATAGCTCAAATGGACTTTTTTGTGTTTGAAAAAGTTGGGTTTTTTAAAAAATAATAATAATAAATGAAAGATTCACTTGTTCTCAGCTCATAGAAAAGACATCTCTAGGTTGGTTACCTGTTTGATCATGCTCTCTCTCTTACGCCAAAACCACCAGCGACCAGATTTCTTTGGCATCTTATCTTTGACCCAGGACTCCACTGTGGCCTAGAAACAATGAACGTGGGTTAGTCTAACAATCGGTCAGTCACAAAGCACCCAACTACATCCCGCTGCTAGCCTGCAGGACGGTGCCTTATCATGGCGTATGAGCAATGATCTCCACACCTCCCGAACTCCTCTAGAGTTTTCAACGCTTACGGAAGGTGGACAGTGACCTCTTCCGTGGTAGTATGGCTTTGTGGCAGATCTGGGCTATAAGACCAAGTGGTCTGGCTACGTAGGAGCAGCATTCTGAGGGGATTGGCAGGTGAGTTGCTCTCATTTCTCTGCCCTTGGAAAATGTGGCTCTGAGTTATGAGGCCCAACTAGGCTGATGATGCCTTCTTGCAGGGCAGAGTCAAAGCAAATCTTCAGGTTATACATACAGCTTTATTAGCCACAATGACAGAATCATAGCGATATCATGATCCTGGTGAACATATCACCCTCTTCTTGTACCTTTTTCCCATATTAATGACATTTTGTTTTTCATTCATTCTATATTTAACAATCAGTAAAATGTCTCAACTTTTATACACAATCATATATGATTGTATCTGGTATAAAATGTGACATAAGTATAAAATGTATAAAATATATAAGTATAAAATGATATAAGTATCTGGTAAAAATGATCAAGATGTTGCAGCTGAGCCAGTTTCCTAGATTTTGGGCATGAGATCATTTGAGTGGGCACATAGAACTCTTTGGATCTTTTATAATATTAAATAAAACTTTAAAGAGTATCCAGGTTAGAAATAGAACATATGGATTTTTCTACATACTCTATGCTGTAGATACTTCTTTTTTTTAAAGATTTTATTGGGGAATTAGGAGAGGGAACAGTGTTGGGGAATCGGGGAAGGGGAACAGACAAATTGCTGTCCTTTTTTTCTTCAGTCTAGTTGTGGAGGATGTCGCTTCACTGGCCCATGTTGGTATTATCATTGCACTCTTCCCGAGTGAGGCAGTTGGTCGCCGGCCATTGGACAGCCGCTCATAGAGGCTCACGAAGGTTCACTCCCGCTGCCAGCCAGCCCCCCTGCAGCCTACGCCATCACCGGCAACTCATGGCAGCCCAGCTCCAGGTTGAGCTGTTGTTCACCATTTTAGCTGTAGAGGGCGCAACGTCACTGGCCCTCATGTGGGATCTGAACCGGGGCCCTGCTACTCAGAGCTGGCGTCCCAAGCCAACTCCTAACCAACTCCCAAACCAACCGCCACTCGGCCGGCCCCTGTAGATACTTTTGAAAAGGCAAGAAATGGTGGATCATCTCACCTTAGGCAAACTCTTCTGGAATACTTGTAAGCTAAGTATCATGGGAGCGGCCAAAGCCCAGTTATAGTAACTGTAAGAAATAAAAATTGTGCAAAACCATTACACAGAGAGAAAAGAGGGAGAGAGAGAAAAGGGTAGGAAGGGAGGAAGGAAGAAAAGAGGAGAGAGGTAGAAATAACATAAAATTCCTTATCCTTTTCAGTAAAAAGATGATAAGCTAAATTTTTTGTCACATGAATAATCTTTGTTTCAAGCCAAATTTCTCTGAACAGAGAAGCAGTAAAATCTACAAAACAGAGTATCATTTTAATGCTTCATTTAAAACTGAAGTTGAGGCTTCACTTTCACTTCAAAGATTTTGCCCATTAGCTCCTTTGTATGAAATGATATATTTTATTGCAAGAAAAACTATAGTAGTTAAAAACAGCGCTTGGAAAACACCCTGCAAGAGTTTTTAACAATTACAAAAGCAAGACTATTTACCGATTGTATATCCGTATTACAAGGTTAGGATTGTCTATAAGTCCAGGGTTCTCTGCAAATTCATGATAAGTAATGATATGCTCCATGAATTTTTCTGTAATGTAAAGTAATAACAATCAATTTGGTTAGCGATCACAAAAATTCCCAATATCACAATATTCTCTGTATTAAAGAGACTATAGCATAAAATAAAATGTCCTCTTTTAAATAAACTGACTTTTAAAAATATCCATCAAAAACAAAATGTTAAAACACTTCCCCCAACCAGGATAGGAAAGAACACTTCTTTTCTATCCTTCCCCTCTTTCATCATTCCTTTCCCAGTTAAAACAAACAAACAAACAAACAACAGGAGAAAGGGATATGCCAGCAAGTTTTAGGAAAATAAGATTACAGGTGTGGCCAGAGAGAGAGGATTTCTTTTCTCTCTCTCTCCTTCCCTCCTTCCCTCCATAACTAATGAAAGCTAAGTTTCATTCTTATCAGAAACTCTTTACTGACAGGCAACTGCATAATTGAGGTATATTCATGGGGGTCTTATAGCTTTAAGTGCATGCTACAGTAGAAAAAAACAAAACATTTTATAACTGATTGGAGAAAAAAACAAACATATACCAAAATTTGGCTTTGGATTTGTCAAGAAATAAATTCCAAGTTCTTGCAGAATGAATGAGAACGCATGTATTTTTATACCCTGTTCCTAAACCTATACTCTAGTTGATCCAAGCTAACAAAGAAATTGTTCCTCCTGGTAATTTGTATATTATTTATTTTTACTTGCCATTTCTGCCTCCTCCGATAACAAACTGAACCTAAGTTACCAATATTTTTTTAAAAGTGTAAATTTTACAGTTTATTTATATTACAAACTTCCCATTCCCCACCCCTTATATTTTTTTAAATGAAGGCTTATGAGGATTATAATAAGAATGTGACCTATTTAATTGTGTTCCTGGAAGGAACCACTGGCCATAATATACTCTTAATTTCTTGCAAAAAATAAAACAAATAGAATTAAGAGATGGAGAAGAGGCATAACAAGCAACTTGGGACCCTAAAAAAGAAAAATAATCAGGAAAACACAGTTGTGTACCCACCCAGTTAGCCACATGCAAGCCTTCAGTTGCTCTGAGAGTTGACAGAAGACAAAAGATGATGCTAGTCATGGAAAGAAAATCTTTCCTTAGAGGAAAACCAATCAAGGATCACCAACCAAATTGGGAAAATATTAAGAAGAGTTTAGTTTACAAAGAAAGACAAACCCGAAAAGGCCAAAGAACTTGGGACAGATGCACACACAGGTGGCTCAACCCACACCAGAGATGTCTGAACTATGTCTGCTAAGCTCCTTTCCTTTCTCTTGAGCAACTTTACTCTCCTGAGCCAACTCTCAAATCTGAGACAGAAAGTAATCCCTTCTACTTTTTGCCAGAAAGACCATTTACTCAGTGAACAATCAGTTTTCAATAACTTCAAGCCTACCCTCATATCTAAGGCCCACTGCTTTCTAGGAGGGCAGCTGGGCTCTAATCCCACAGACATTTAAACAACTTTACAGATGAGAAACTGACACAGCTTGAGCTGACCGTGGCTGCTCAGCAAACGGCAGCCTGACACCTCTCAGCCTCTTAGTGTGAAGTGAGAGCCTTGAAGGCACATTCAGTCCTCACCCAGGCCATTTATATGTAATGTCATCCCATATGAGGTACCTTAAGCCAGGGACTAAGAGTCTTACATTAAAGGGAGACGCCTGTTACCTGCACAAGATCACTAAAGGAATTAATACCCTGAAATGGCTAAACAGCAGGTTTTCAATCAAATGATGACCAGGCTGCTATCTCAAGTGAAGACAGGGCATGACTGCCCAGCATACCTTTAGATATTTCTCCATTCTCACTGAGGCCCCCACAAAGGGAGAGGGTGACGTCCGGCAAGTCCATGGCAGAATCCGAGAGGCACTCGGTGCCGCTATCGGCAGCGGCACTTCCCACGGACTGTGGGGACTGGGAGCCAGAGAGTGTGTCAGACTCGGGCCACTGTCTGGAGCTGGGGTCCGATTCACTGTGGGCAGGAAACAGGGAGAAAAGGATTTGCTTTATTACAACTTCTTGTATTCCCAGCTTACTACATGGTTCTCTGATGACTCAAATCAAATAACATATCCCCTTTAAAAAGCAACAGGTTGATCTACAATCAGACATAGCTTTTCTTTGGTAGTGTTAGAATCATATCATAAATGACATTAAAAATAACCTATTAGCATTACTGAGGAATTCACTGTAAGTACAGTAAGTATATCACAAAAATCACTAAGTTATTCACAATAACACAAACATTTCAACTACAGCTTTTCTGATTTTAATTAAAGGAGCAAAGAGTTTTAAGCATTTACTTATATTTCCATGATGAAAATGACAGGGTAATTAAGAAAAATCTGATGTTTGGGAACCTTTTGATCCTAACTTCCTGGAGAAAATTACTGTAGTTCAAGGCTGTATTATTTTTAAAAACAAAGCTTTTCTAAATTCATCTGTTACTCCACAAAACAGAACAAAGAAATGAAAAGAAAATTCTCAGGAGGCTAGACCCACCAAGAAAAGAAATGCACTGTGAAACTAGAAATACACTGTTCTTACATTAGTGAAGGCCAAAAATAAATATGAGGCTATTCAATATTTTCATTTTTCTAGATGATAAGGCAAAGAAGCTAGGTTTTAGACGGTAATCCTAAGGGAAACTTTGTAATGGAGCATAAATCTGAGAGAAAAAGAACAAAGAAATGGCATCTCAAGTTTCTTAGTCATGCATGTTTACCGCTGTACACTCTTTGAATGGATAATGTCACACTGAGGGATTGTTTTAGAATTTTCAAATTCTTTTATTTATTCAGAAAGCCAATGTATTTAATGTATACGATCGATGTATGCAATCCAGTGTAGTTATAGGATCTTTACGAAAAAAATCTCAAATTTGAACAATAGGTGGCAGCAGAATACAGATGTCATAACTAGAAAGTAGTTTCAAAAGCTATTGTTTTGCATTTAAACCAACAAAAGATTTAGGTTTTTGGATATGTTCTCTCTTATAGCAATGCACAGCCATATCACAGTATTGAGATTAACTCAGAATGTTCTCTTCACTGGAAATAGTAAAAAAGTCAAAGCCAATGTAAGGCAGCAAAGCCTGCTGTTGTGCTGGGGTGAGGGGCAAGGCCGACCCCCTGGTAAAAGGCAAACAAAAGACCACTATGTATTCACAAACACCAGTTCCTCTTAATCCTGGGCAGGTGCCTTTACAGCTAGGTGTGGACACATGACCAGATGATTGAGTTGTTGATGTGGACAGAGGGGGTGTGCTGTACACCTCCCAAGACTGGTCCCTGAAAACTCCCCTGTGTGACCCTCTCTCCTTTTCCTGCTGAGGTCCTGAGGGGATGATGGAACACAGTGGAAGAAGCTGGTACTCCTGATCCCTGTGTGCAAGGTCTCCTACCAAACACCACACTGGAATATTGCTGACCCTTGAATACGAATTTGAACTGTGCAAATCCACTTATATGTGGATTCTTTCCATTCAATATCTAGTCAGCCCTCTGTGTTCTTGGGTTTTGCATCCATGGATTCAATCAACTGCAGATTGAAAACAGTATTTTCTGGAGATGCGGAGGGCTGACTATATGCATATTTTATGCCATTTTATATAAGGGGCTTGAGCATCTGTGGATTTTGGTATCCGCAGGGAGAGGGGGGCATCTGGAACCAATCCCCTGTATAAGGATGACTGCAGTTAAGTTTTTTTTGGGGTCAAACATTATATGTGGATTTTCAATTGCACAGGGTGCTGGCGCCCCCAACACCAGCACTGTTCAAGGGTCACCTGTATCATCACACCAGCAAGAAATAAACTTTTATTGTGGTAAGCCACTGAAGTCTTGAGTTTTATCACTTAGGAGCAGTTAGTGTGACCCTAACCAATGCAACCACTAAATACAGGGAGGACGTGATCTGACTCAACATATCGCCAAATCCACAAGGGTGATGTGATTTCAAGTTTAGCTATAATTATAAATACTGGATATTTAGTCAAGAACAATGAACATGACCATAACAAAACACATGCTTGTAAGCACTGTAACAGTCTCACTTCCTTTAGGTATTTATAAAATGTCTCAAGAAATAATTCCTTCATGAGGTAAGAAGCTTACTTGGTGAATGGCAACGATCCCAAACAGTTGAATTATAAGACAGCACACACAGTCAGGGCCCAGCGCATTCATCGCTTTCTCTATTTTTTAAAAGGAAAACTAAGAAATCTATTTTAGGAATCCCAATGTTAAGTAAACGATTAAGGATTAAGAAATCTGAAAGAAAGTGATAATTTTGAAACAGCTTATGTTTTAGCCTTCTTATTGAAAGAAAAAATAGAGCAGTTTTAGTTTTCTCACTTTAAAAGCCCAACTATTACTTCAAATAAATATTCGAGACAAATTTAAAGCGCTATTAGGGAAGAGTTTTAAGGACCTTCCAAGAATATCTGTAAAAAAATGAAATATCCTCATATGAATCCCATCTTTTATTTTAAATAAAAACTTAATGACATTGGGCCGAGTGGCGTGTTGGTTAAGAGCTGGCTTGGGACGCCAGAGGGCCCCGGTTCAGATCCCACATATGAGGGCCAGTGACACTGCCCTCCGCAGCTAAGATGCTGAACAACAGCTCAACCTGGAGCTGGGCTGCCGTGAGTCACCAGAGACCGTGTAGGCTGCAGCCCCTGCTGCAGTGGGTTGCCATGGGCTACCGTGTGTAGCCAGCAGCCAGTGTGAGCGGCCAGCAGCCGCCGCTGTGAGCAGCTGTCCAGAAGCCGGTGACTGATCTGCCTCGCCCGGGAAGAGTGCAATGATGGTGCCAACTTGGGCCAGTGAAGCAACGTCCTCCACAACTAGACTGAAGAACAAAAGGACAGCAACTTGTCTGTTCCCATTCCCCAATTCCCCAATAAAAATCTTAAAAAAAAAAACCAACAAAAAACCAAAAAAACTTAATGACATATGTTTTCCAATAATTTATTTAAAAGTGCTTAATTATGTGTGCCTGTGGTTCAGTATATTCAAGCCATACTTTCCATGGAGAAAAGTAAATTGCTTTTTGTAATCATAGAGTGTATTATAATGTAATTCCCCTAAGAATGGAAATGAACTTGGGAAAATAGTAATATCATTCCTGAGGTTTTGGAGTTATTCAAGGATGGAAACTGTGAGGGAAAGGGAGGGAAAAATACAAGAGGTGAGAGCCCTAGGTAATGTGGGGTGCACAGGCCAGCTGGAATGGTGCCTCACCAGACCCAGGCTTGAGTTCATAAAAAGCCTGGGAGCTCAGACTCGCCAAAGGAGTGAAGGCACTCTTTGTAAAATGTTTTTGAATAAAGATAAAAATACCTTTAAAACACAAGTGCTAATAAATTTTTCTCAAGTATGCTGAGCTTGCATTAATAACTATAATAAGTGCTAATGTGAAGTCATGTACATTGGCTTACCCCTATGTAGGTTTAACTAGTGTACTTCTTCTCACTGCATTGATAATTTCTTCAGAAATAGGTAAATTATTAGTTTCAAATCACTACAGTCAAAACAACACGTATACAATTTCTGAATTTTCCAAATCTGAAGCAATCATCTAATTTAACTAAAGAACATCATCTCCTTGCTCCTTTTTTCTCAAACAAAATATTTTGCTCTAGAAATAGCTAGAATATTTCAGAGCTGTTCAGCCGTCAATATACAAGGAATACACTACCTTTTAGGGAAATAGAGAGCTGCAACTTCAGGTTCTAGAGCATTTAAGTCATCGAGGTAAATGTCATCAGGTCCCTGGTGCTGGCTTCTCTTATGCACACCTGTTTTTAAAAGAAAAACACATCAGAGATAAGAACTTAATTATTCTTCATTTACAACTCTGCAAGAAAACAGAGATTTACAAACAATAAAACCGATCATGATTTGAATTGGGCTTTATTTTTTAAAGTGTCAAAAAACCTTTTTACTTGTGTTGGTTCTCAACCATTCATGACAATGGAAGTGAAATTGAGTGTTACCACATAACAGTTGCTCAATAAACATATCCTAATTTACTCATTTTTTCATTTGCTATTACATGAATAACCCCTAAGTCATTTACATTTGATACAGTTTTTTTATATTTATAGTACAAACAAGCATGACCAAACTTGATGAAATCACCAGCACTGAGAAAGAAGCCATTATTCTAAAACCATGAGGGAAAGGCTCTTGGGAATAGGATATTCACATGGCGCCAATGTATTACCTTATAATTGCAAAAGAAAAAAAATCCTTTACAATGGATAAATCTGGCAGACAATACCTTAAACAAGTTGATCACATTTAGCGTCACTAACAGTGATGCATTGTGAGATGCAATATTGAAATACCAAATATATCCAATAACGTAGTCTTTAATTCAAAAAAAAAACAAAAAACATGTAACCCAAATCTAATTAAGCCTCTAGATCTGTACTGCCCACTATAGTAGTCACCAACCACACATGGCTACTGAGAAGCTGAACTGTCCTAGTCTGATGCGAAGTATGTAAAATGTGTTAAAAAAAAGTGTAAAACACACACCAGATTTCCAAGACTTAATATAAAAATATAAAAGCTCAATAATTTTTATACTAATTACATGTTAAAATTACAATAGTTTAGATTTATTGGCTTAGATAGAATGTATTAATTATTAAACTTAATTTCACTTTTTTAATGTGAAAAGACAAAAATTATATATGTGGCTCATATTACATTTCTATTGGACAGGGCTAACTTCCAGTTGAAGGAGACATGGGGATGTCACCTTGAGAAAAACAATCAGACACATCCAGAATGTAAGAAAGTATACCAGACACTTGGCTGTCCTCTTCAAATGGTCAATATTGTGGACATAGAGGGGGAAAGAGGTGTGGCAGCGTGTGTGTGTGTGTGTGCGCGTGTGCGTGTGTGTGTGTGTGTAGGGGGAGCTGTTCTAAATAAAAAGACTAAACATAAAAACCAAATGCGATATGTGAATTTTGATGAGATCTCAGTTTACCAAAAAAAAAAAAACCAGCTAAAAAGTTATTCTTGGTACATTTAGGAAAATATGAATATGGATTCCTGCACATGACACTGGTATTATGGTTATGCAGAGAATGTTCTTATTTTTGGAATAAAGTTGAAATGTCATATACAAACATAAAGGTAGCCAACACATATAATCTGAGATACTGAAATATTTACTGTCTAAATTTAGAGTACCTGATACCAAATTAAACAAATGATTACCTTTTTTTTTTGATGGCGAGTCTACTTTAGCTGTTGGTTTTGATTCTGAGGGAACCTCTGCTAATGGTGGGTTAGGAAGGTGGTCTGCATCTAACATAGATGAAATCTGAGGCTCAAGGGGAGGCTCGAGAAGTTCTGCAGCGGAAGATGCATCGCTCATCAGCTTACACAGGGCTCTGGGTTTGGGTTTCACTATGGTACAGACCGTTTCTTCCATGGAAGCACCCTTCTCAGTTTCATTTATGAGGTTGTCCTCATTGGGAATTACCCGAAAATGGGTATTTTCTGATGGTGTAATCGTAGCTGTCCTAGGATGTTCAGATCTGTCTCTTTTACTGACCTAAAAAAGTTGAATAGTTTAAAAATTAAACTACTTTCAAAGGTGTTTATATAAGCTATTTCTTAAGGTGGATACAGGTAAATGTGTTCATTTTGTTTAAAACAATACATTCAGCAAATACATTGTTTAATATATGTGAAATACTTCATAATTAAAAAGTGGGAAAAATAATTACATTTTGTTCAATATCATAATAGACTATTCATTTTGATGGATAAAATTTGAGTGCTACATGAAATTTTAGCTCTGCTTGGACTACCTCCAGGATCTGTTAAAACAATGTAAGATGCTGAATTATAATGCTGTACACCTGAAACTTATGTTATGAACCAATGTTATCTCAATTAAAAAAAAATAAAATAAAAGTGGGCAGACATGTCTCAATGCAATCAGGCATATAAGCAAAACGTATATTTATTTTTATTAATTTCAGGTGTACAAAGCAATGTAGTAGTTAGACATTTAACCCCTCATAAAGTGATAACCCACGCCCCAAGCTACTACCCCTCTGACATCTTATAGAGCTGTTACAGACACTGACTATCTTCCCTATGTTGTATTCCACATCCCGTGACTATCTATACACCTACATATTTAGTTATAGTTGACATTCAATATTATTTTACTTCAGCTTCAGGTGTATAGGTCAGGCAACTACACAGTCTATGAAGTGATTCCCCTGATAAGTCCAGTGCCCATCTGGCACCTTACATGATCTTTACAACATTGTTGATTATATTCCCCTTACTGTATTAACTATGAATTTGTATTTCTTAATACTTTTACCTTTTTCACCCCGCCCCCAACCCCATTCCCATCTATCACCCTGATAAATCTAGTACCCATTGGATAACATACATAGTTATTACAATATTATTGACTGTATTCCTTATTCTATACTCTACATCCACTACGGTATAACAACCAATTTGTAGTTCTTAATCCCTTCCTCTTTCATCCGTCCTTAACTCCCCTCCCATGTTAAAGAAGTCCCTCTAAGATTCCTTGTAGTACTGGTTTGGTGGTGATGAACTCCTTCAGCTTTTTCTTGTCTGGGAAGCTCCTTATCTGTCCTTCAATTCTAAATGACAGCTTTGCTGGGTAGATCAATCTTGGTTGTATGTCATTGCTTTTCATCACAGAATATTTCCTGTCACTCCCTTCTTGCCTGCAAAGTTTCTGTTGAGAAATCAGCCGCCAGTCTTATGGGGGCTTCCTCGTAGGTAACTAATTGCTTATCTCTTGCTGCTTTTAAGATTCTCTCTTTGTATTTAACCTTTGGCATTTTAATTATGATGTATCTTGGTGTTGGCCTCTTTGGGTTTATCTTGTTTGGGACTCTCTGTGCTTCCTGGGCTTGTATGTCTATTTCCTTCACCAGGTTAGGGAAGTTTTCTGTCATTATTTCTTCAAATGGGTTTTCAATTCCTTACTCTCTTCTCTTCTCCTCCTGGTATCCTGATAAAGTGAAAGTTGGTATGCTTGATGTCCCAGAGGTCCCTTAAACTCTCAACTTTTTGGATTCTTTTTTTTTTTTCTGCTGTTCTGGTTGGGTGTTTTCTGCTACCTTATCTTCTACATCGCTGGTTTGATCCTCTGCTTCATCTAATCTGTTGATTCCCTATAATATATTCTTCATTTCCATTATTGTATCCTTTATTTCTGACTGGTTCTTTTTTATGGTTTCCATCTCCATTTTTATGCTTCCTATTTCTCTGTTGAAGTTCTCCCTGAGATCATTGAGCATTCTTATAAACAGTTGGATCTCTGTGTCTGATAGATTGCATATCTCCATTTCGCTTAGTTCTTCTGGAGCTTTGTTCTGTTCTTTTATTTGGTACATGTTTCTTTGTCTCCCCATTTTGGCTGCCTCCCTGTGTTTGTTTCTATGTATTAGGTAGGGCTGCTATGTCTTCTGGTCTTAGTAGAGTGGCCTTATGTAGTAGGTGTGCTGTGGGGTTCAGTGGTGCAGTCTTCCTGATCACCTAAGCCACACGCTCCAGGTGTGTTCCTTCTGTGGGTTGTGTGTGCCCTCCTCTCGTATTTGAGGCTTGGTTGATAACTGCACACCAATGGGAGGGACTGACCCATTGGGGTCACTCGTTGTGAGGACTGGTTTTGACTACAATGGAAGAGTTGTTGTGTGGGGGCTGATCCTACGAAGCAGGATCTGCCTCAGAAGGACTCTGGTGCCTGCCCAATCTGCCCCTTGGGTGTGTCATACTTCAAGGCAGCTGGGTGATACTCCAGCTCATTTTGAAGCTGGCCACTGGGGGTGCCAGCCCCAGGATCACATTGGAGGGGGATCCACTATAGGTTAAGTTCAGCCACAGCCCGTGTCCCTCTCGGGGCCACTCAGCAGGAGCACGAAGAAATCTGCAGATGGCCGCCACCCATGCTGTGCTTGGAAGCACCGAGAGGCCAAGCCATAAACCAAGGCTGGCTGTGACTAGTGCCAGTTTAGGGCTGCTCAGCCAGAGGTACACGACACAGTCAAGCCAGATGCTGCTTGTCTGGGTTCTGCAAATCTTTGAGAGACCCTAGGAAAGTGCAGCTTGAACCAAGGCAGGCAGTTTGCAAGAAAAAGCCACTGAAAACAGCCTGGGTGTGCCCAAAAGTTGGGCATGGCTGGGTCTCTAATCACCAGGGCTTGGCAAACTAACAGTGGAGACTCAGATATGGCAGCCACCTGCGTCTGCTCGCAGGGAAGGAGGAGGGCTCAGCAAAGAAACAATGGCCTCCATCAGCCCCCCCATCCAGGAGAAAGCCACCTCTCCAGCCCCCATACCAAGCCAGACTACTCAGTTCCCTACCATATGTCCCCACCGCGTCTCCAGCTGCTGCCCCAGCACTGGAGCTCAAAGCAAGTGATTCTGTTGGTGGGTAAGCCTGCGTGAAGTCCCTTAAGAAGAGTGCCTCTGCAATCAGTCTCACTCAGTCATAATCTCCACTGGTTTTCACAACCAAAAATTATGGGGACTTCTCTCCCTGGCACTGGGGTGGGCTGGGATCTCTTGCTCCTCTAGGGGCTGGGCGGGGACCCTCACAGCCGAAATGTCCCTCCCGATCTTTCATGGTCATACACGGGTGTGGGACCAGCCCATTCCGCGTCTCTGCCCTTCCTACCAGTCTGGAGGTGGCTTCTTTTGTGCGTCCTTAGTTGAAAGGTTCAGTTCAGCTTGATTTTAGGCGATTCTCAATAATGGTGTTTTGTAGATTAATTGTAATTTTGATGTGGTTGTGAGAGAAGGTAAGCACAGGGCTTACCTACTGTGCCATCTTGGTTGTCCCACAAAATGTATATTTTTTAAAAAACTGGAGGGTCTAAACATTTTCTCTTCCAAGAGACAGAGAAAGACAGATACCGTATAATTTCACTTATATGTGGAATCGAAAAAGCAAAAGAAACAAAATGAAACAGAAACAAACTCATAGATACAGAGAAAAAACTGATGGTTGCCAGAGGGGAGGAAGTTGGGAGATTAGGTAGAAAAGGGAAAGTAATTAAGAAGTAAAAACTGCCAGTTAAAAAAAAAAAAAAAAGTAACAGGGATGTAATATACAGCATAGGGAATAGAGTAATAAATATCATAATTACTAGGTATAGTGACAGATGATTACTAGATTTTATTGTGGTGATCACTTTATAAGAAATATAAATATTGAATCACTATATTGTACACCTGAAACTAATGTAATTGCATATGCCAACTAAAGTAAATTAAAAAAATAGAAAAAGTATAAAACAAAGTCAGGTTAATTCATACACAAAATAAAAGCAGTCTCAATAAACAAACAAACAAATAAGAAATGTATCTTTCCAATTCTTTACCCTTTCATTATGAGCTGGCAAAAATGCTTTCACAATCAAGTTCCTGTTTAAAATTTAAGTGTGGAAATTTTAGTTTCCTTTAGGTGCCTTTTAAATCTTCCTTACTAAAATGTTAACAATCAACATCATTACTAAATAGAAACACAAAATAATGCTGGATTCCTTCTGTTGTAAACACATAGTGCAAACATTATGAAAAATGTTAACTGAATTTACTTATGTGACCAAATGAGAGCACTTTCATCATTTATGTTCATACGAGCTCACTCAGGAATCACCCCTTTACTCATGGACGAAGGACACACTCTGGAGGCAAGTAAACCCTAGTACCTTGGTGGACTCTGGGAATCCTCCCCATGTCCACTCCATGTGGGACTCGGATCTGAGCAGGCTCTCAGTGGGTTTTACCTCCAGCTCTGAATCACTCTTAGGACATGCTGCCGGGGAATAAGGGCTGCAAACACAGTACAAAGAACATGATGAATTTAAAGTCAGGAACTTCAGTCTTGCTGAGCTTGATGGATGAAAAGCAATATAAGTTTGAATATATCAACTTTACCCTGAAGATATAAAGAGTCTATTAAAGGGAATGTCAATTATTTCTTCCTGTTGAGTTTAATAATAATAAAAATGCCAACTAGTAGTATTTATTGTGGACTTTCTGGGTCCTCTGTAAATACTTTATATGCATTATCCCATTTGATTCTCACAAGAAATCAATAAGAAAGGTAATTTTACAGGAGAGAAAAATGCATGAAAAAAATGAATGAACATAACTAATACAAAAGAAAAACGTGATTTGAACATATAACAAAGTTGGCACATTTCTTCACAGTATTATCCAGTTACATTTAATCGTTGACACTAAAAGATTAGAATTTAAGAATTATAGAGGGCCAAATTCTATGCTGATTATACAGATGTTCAGTGACCAACACAGTGAGAGTAATGAAGTTTAGGGACAAAATAATTGAAAAAAGGTCCATATTCATGTTAAAAGTGCCTCTGCTGTATGAGAAATAGGAAGAATCATTACTGCCCAATAATAATAATAATATTATTAATAAAAGCTATTTAATATATCTTTCCTCTAAGAAACTGAGAAATTTCAAAAATACCTACTTGTCCAAAGGTGACCAATCGCCATCAGATAAGGGGTAATGATCTCCAGAATGGAAGAACAGAGGTTCCTTATATTCTTCTTCCTTTAAGGAAGCATTTGAAGATCCTCTGTGAAAGGGAAAAAAACAAAAAAAGGCAGGAACAATGACACTTGCGTCAGCTTAAAAATGTCCCCCAAATCTACTGACATCATCTAAACGATATAAATGAAGGCCAAATGATTAATAACTAACCCTCTTAAAAGGAAAATATGAAGGAGATTCACTGATGTTACCCCCACCATACCCTGCTACAATCACTAAGTAAATATGGGATAAACAGAGGAGGAAAGGAAAGAAGATATTAAAAATTCCTGTTTACATCCTTTAGGGGTACTTGATTCAAAGACTAAGGCTTTATGTGTATTTCATTCAATCCTTACAAATCTGAGTAATATCCTGTTTTAGATACCAGGCAATCAAGAATCCAGAGAAGTTTAGTAACTTGCCCAAAGTAAAAAAGCTAGTAAGTCGCTGGATTCAAACTATTAGGTTGTCAGAAAAGTCTTGACGTATTTTTTCTATGTTTTTTGTTGCAAAAATGTGCCATGACTTTTCCGACAATCCAATAAGTTAAGCCCTTGTTCTTTCCACTACTCTCTCCTGTGTATTACAAAAAATACAAGAACATCATCTAAAGACAAGAGTTATGGCTCAAAATTTTAAAAATACCCTAAAAGCTCTTAAAAACCAGAACTTACTTCCTCTTTGTTTGGCCCAAGCATTACCTGAGAACTTTCTTTACTTAGAATTGACATGATGTAGGAATGTGAAGATGATACAAAACTATGATAAATGCTTTTAAAATTCACACACAGACCTTGGAACAATAGGTGGTTGAATTAGTGCTAATAAGGTTTTAATTAATTTATCCTTTGGTTTTCTTGAATTTGCAGTTAATATAACTAACTTGCCACATAACCTTAAAACATCCCTCAGAAGCACTGTGGGCCCCAGTTTTTCATCTTTAGTTAGAAATTTATCACTTGTCCTATTTCACAAAGTCAAAGTGAGATTTTTGTGGTGTGTCATGTTGAAAGCTCTGAAAAGTATAAAGAAAAACTCTGCAAAGTGTAAAGTACTACACTATACAAGTTTAAGAGTGTCTTACAGAAAATTGAATGCTCTACCAGGACAATATTAAAGGTTAAAATGGGAATATCTGTATCACTTAATTGGCTAAATATAAATCTCTACTGGCTAAAAATAAATCTATAAACCAGTTTATTAATTTTTAATATTACTTTTCTTCCTTTATATCTTAATTTAACATGCTCTGGTTTACCATTAACTGACATGTAATAGTTTTTCCACATAGCATCTTCTAATTTAAGGTTTTCTACTCTAATCTTCTTTCACTCAAAAGGATTAAACTGGCATACAACTTCAAAGGGGGGGAAAAACATATATTTGGAAAAGGCAGACATTTAGGTAAAAATACTCTATTTCTTAAGAAAGGAAAATAAAATGGTAAAAGCAGAAAGGGAAAATCAGATACTTATGAACAGTCCTTATTTGTCAAATCAAAAAAAAATTAGTGTAGCTTGACATCACTATTCATATATATGAAAATGGTTTGAAAAGCACAATGTAAAAGCCACAGAAATTTTATTAAAATTATTTTTAGAGCATACTTCACTGCAGTATAAAAGGTATGTTAAGAAGAGTTCAGCAAAGCAAACTGGATTTAGTAAAATATTGAAAGGGAGAGAGATGGAGATCTGGCACCATTAACAATTTACGACCACAGGAAGATCTGAAATGGTCTTCTCTGGGTACATCCTGGCAAAAATAGAGCCCATTAGTTTAGACCCATTAGAGTGAAGGTACAGGTTGCTAATGTTGAGGTTCCTTTCAGTCCTATGATTCATTCACTAGCATAGAATTTCTATAAATCTGCTAAAGTACTTTCAAAATGGCACATATGCCTGAGAACAAGTGACCAGATGGGCAAACCATGACAGAGTAACGTGAAATAAGTACATTCCATGAGGATACAGGGAGTGTATATATTAGAACATGAAGAAAATAGTATGAACACTGATTTTACCTATGTTGAAACATAGGACAAATATATACATTAACACTGAACAGCAGATGATTTGCAGTAAGTTGGTTTAATGTTGAGTCAGGATTGGTGGGGTGGGAACGTCAGTTGCTGAAGTTCATAATAATATGTGTGTAGAGCACTTCAGCCTTCACAGATGCTCCTTAACATCACGTCTTCAAATTCAACATCATTTTGTAAACCAATTATCTTTCCTATTCAAAAGCCAACAGAGGTTACGTGATGTACACAACTGTCAAAATTCACTGAATTGCACACTTAAGATCTATGAATATTATTGAATGTAAATTATACCTCAGTGTTTTTAAAAGCTGGGAAAAAAATCAATAGAAAGTTAAAATAAATAGAATTATTCAAGAGGAACTAAGAGAGTTTTCAGTCTATTTAACTGGTAGTATGTAGGAGATAAATGGGGTTGCTAACTACCATGACCAAAGATCATTAACTCTGTTAACTTCATGTTTATCCTTAACCTTAGCACAGTATTGGTCAATAAATTTCAGGTGACTCTGATTTCAGTTTGCATTTGTATATAGGGCATTTCCCGTAAAAGATACCTCATAATAGAACTGAAAGGACCTTGCAATATTTCTGTTTACTGTGTTAGAAATGAAGTGGAGGGAGGACAGGGAGGAAGCTGTAAGATTCATGTTTCCACAGAATACCTTAGAGAGTACTATAGAAACCAGATACTATCAGGAGATGAAGTGTGAAGCCTCAGGACAATAGAAGCTGTCTGTGAAAAGCCTTAGGCTGCAATGAACATGGGCGTACATGTATCTTTATGAATAAATATTTTCATATTTTTTTGGTAAATACCCAGAAGAGGAATTGCTGGATCATGCGGTAGTTCTATTCCTAGTTTTCTGAAGCACCTCCATACTATTTTCCATAGTAGCTGCACTAATTTACATTCCTACCAACAGTGTATGAGGGTTTCCCTTCTCCACATCCTTTCCAACACTTGTTATGCTTATTGTTTCTTGTCTTCTTGATAATAGCCATTTTAACAGATGTGAGGGGTTATCTCATTGTGGTTTTGATTTGCTCTCTCCCTAATAACTAGTGATGTTGAACATCTTTTCATATGTCTATGTTCACTGCATTATTTACAAGAACCAAGACAAAGAAACAACCAAAGTGCCCATTGAAAGATGACTGAATTAAGTTATCTTTTCAGTCGCTCTCTTCCCACCCCACTCCCCACAACAAACAGAAATACTACTCGGCCATAAAAAAAATGATTTATTGCCACTTGCAACAACATGGATGGATCTTGACAGTATTATGCTATGTGAAATAAGTCAGATGGAAAAGGACAAAAACCATATGATATCACTTGTAAGTGTAATATAAAACAAAAATTAACAAATGAACTAATAAAACAAAAAGAAGCTCCATAGATACAGACAACAGAATGGTGGTTACCATAGGGGAAGAAGGTGGGAGGAGGGTAAAGTGGGTAAAGGGGGTCAAATATATAGTAATAGAAGGAAACTAGACTCTGTGGCGAGTACACAAAAAAAGCACACAGTATCGAATTATAATCTTGTACACCTGAAATTATATGTTATTAATCAATGTTTCTTCAATAAATTTAATTAAGTAAAAAAAGTCTTACGCTCCGTGCACTTAGCTCTCAGATATAACTTGTAAGCAAGTCTGCTTTGGAAGATTAAAATGAGAGGTTCCTTTCTGATTGTGTGGTTATAATCCTCCATTGTTGTTATTGTTGAGGATTTCCATCAGTGGCATGTTTTATATATGTGCAGTCAAGATTATGCTACTGCACTGTCCACTTTGAAAAATCTCTCTTCCCTTTACAAGGCTATTTATGCCTACACCCATGTTTTGAATACATATACACATTTACATATCCACCCGTCCTACAGAAGGACGAACAAGGCTTCTGTATTATATTTAAGCCAAAAGTCCAACTTTAAGAAGGCACAAGACTCCCTAGGTACAGTTTATACAAAGCCCTGTGTAGTTAAAAGCTCTCCAATTTCCACCAATGAGTTTCTTTTAGCTTGTGCAACAGCAACCTGCTTTAAAGAATGATTCTGTCTTTCATCTGCCTCCTTCAAGGAGTCTCAATTAGCCTTAATTTCTGTCATTGATGAAATTCTTGAAAAGTAAAGAGTTTAACTAGAATGCTATCTAGCAAAATAAAATTAAAACTGATTTTATTTTATTTTATTTTATTTTATTTTTTTTTTTTAAGATTTTTATTGGGGAATTGGGGTGATGGGAACAGTGCTGGGGAATTGGGGAAAGGGGAACAGACAAGTTGCTGTCGTTTTGTTCTTCAATCTAGTTGTGGAGGATGTTGCTTCACTGGCCCAAGTTGGCACCATCATTGCGCTCTTCTCTGGCGAGGCAGATCAGTCGCCGGCTTCTGGACGGCCGCTCACTGCGGCTGCTGGCCGCTCACGCTGGCTGCTGGCCACACACGGTAGCCCATTGCAATCCACTGCCACAGGGACTGCAGCCCACGCCGTCGCCGGCGACTCACGGCAGCCCAGCTCCAGGTTGAGCTGCCGTTCAGCATCTTAGCTGTGGAGGGCAGCGTCACTGGCCCTCACATGTGGGATCCGAACCGGGGCCCTCTGGCATCCCAAGCGAGTTCTTAACCATCGCGCCACTCGGCCGGCCCAAATTAAAACTGATTTTAGGTGTCTTCTATGGAAACAGAATTTCTTTCCTATGTGGTAGGGGCTGAGGAGGGTAAGCTATTTAAAAGTTGAAAATTACAATACCACATAATTCTAGATCTCACAACTGCAAAAGCAGTAGACTTTCTATATTTTTTCTCTCACATTCTTTAATGTGCCATTTAATATGCTGTTAATACTTCTGACCCTAGATATCTCCCCCCAAGTTATTTTAGAATCTAAATGCTGAGCTGGAAGGGGCCTTGCAAACCACATTGTTTAATTCCCTTATTTCATAGATTAAGAACAAAGGCTTGGACTGATCGATCAGGAGGCTGCTGTTCCACAATCAGAAGCATAACTGGTTCAGTCTTTTTAGCTCAGTGCTTATTTCAGTATGTGACCTGAACTCACACAACTGTTACATCTTTCTTGTCTTTTCTTTTTTAAGTCCTAATTTCTGTTTGCTGCATATTTAAATAGATCATGTTTTAAAGGAAATTTCTGGAAAGAGTTCCTCCAGTGGCAGTATCTATGATTCAATGGTAACCTAAGAAAAAGCAAACCACCCACCAAGCTCATGAAAATTATGACAAGGTCCTAGTGTATGTGTGTTTTGATAAGCAAGACTCTGGCTCAGAAAGACAAGCTGACAACCATGTTACTGTCAACCAAATCAGTACACCGACAGATATGGTTGATGTAGCCTTTTGCCCAATTGGAAAAGTAAGGCATGCACTAAAATTTCTGCAATGCATTCACTTCTAACACACATTTACAAAATTCCTTTAGAATAATGATTCTTGTGCGTTATAAAGTTAGTAAGTGACTTTACATATGTTTCAGAAATGTTTTAACTTCCCAAGTTAAAGCGGAAGGTTGTTCAGTTCTAAACATAGCTCTACTATGTTAAAACAAAGGACTTTGTGGAACACTCATCAACAAATCTTTAAAGGCAAAATTTTACTTCAGGGTCCTTTCTGATAGATCTTGGAAGAATATTAGTTGGCAAAAATAGTTCCAGGAATTAAGGCATTTAGGGAATATCACAGTGCTAATCCAAATAAAATTTAAATGCATGTGTATTTCAAGTTTTTCTCAAAAGAACCTGTTTCCTGCCCACTACACACTTTATTATAAATAAGCCAAAAATGTAAAGGAACTATTTATATTGTTCTTCACAGCACCAAAATCAAGCAAATTCTTTTTAAGAATTTGTGGGCCGGCCGAGTGGCTCGTTAAGAGTTGGCTTGGGGCCGGCCGAGTGGCTCAGTTGGTTAAGAGTTAAAGAGAGGGAACTCTGAGCAACAGGGCTGCCCGTTCAATTCCCACATGGGCCAGTGATGCTGCGCCCGAGCTGAGCTGTCGCTGAGCTGCCAACAGGTGGCAGGATGGTTCAGCTGGTGTAACAACAAGATGGCCTGTTGGATGATGGGCTATGCCCACCCGCAACTAAGACTGAACTCGCTAGGCACCTTGAGCTGAGCTGCCGCCCAGATGGCTTGGTGGATAGGGTGTGCACTCTTAACAACAAAGCTGCTGGTTTGATTCCTACATGGGATGGTGGCTACGCCCACCCGTAACTAAGACTGAACACAGCACCTTGAGCTTAGAGGACATGTGCTGCCGATGGGAAGCCAGATGGCGACTGGTGCCCTCCACAATGAAGACTGAAGAACAACAACTTGGCTGGTCCCCTCCCTCAATTCCCCAATAAAATCTTAAAAAAAAAAAAAAGAGTTGGCTTGGGAGCACAAGCTCTGAGCAGCAGGGCCGCCGGTTCGAATCCCACATGGGCCAGTGATGCTGTGCCTTCTACAGCTAAGATGGTGAACAACAGCTCGACCTGGAGCTGGGCTGCTGTGAGTTGCTGGCGACGGCATAGGCTGCAGTGGGCTGCTACAAGCTACTGCGAGTGGCCGGCAGCCAGCGTGAGTGGCCGGCAGCTAGTGTGAGCCCAATGGCCGGCAACCGATCTGCCTCAGCCAGGAAGAGCGCAATGATTACAGTACCTACATGGGCTAGTGAAGTGACGTCCTTCACAACTAGACTGAAGAGCAAAAGGACAGCGACTTGTCTGTTCCCCTTCCCCGATTCCCCAATGCTGTTCCCTCCCCCAATTTCCCACTAAAATCTTTAGGAAAAAAAAGCTTTTCCTTATGTTTAAAAAAAAATAAAAATAAAAATTAGTGTTACTTTTTATTAGCTTAAAATTGTTTGGGAATCAATGATATAAAAAGAGTTCAGAACATTTTTAAGCTCTTCCCAGCTAATAGTTTGATACTAACAAAAAAGTATTACCCAAATTTGTTAATTTATTCAGGATTTAAAAATTTTATAGCTATACTTTATACTGGTCTGTAGAGTCTAAAGTACTTTTTGCTTTCTGTCTTTTGTTGTTTAGTTCTAACAGAGGAATTTTTCATTGTAGCAGAATTGAAATCAAAGTCTATATTCAGGGTGTGAGGAGAAAGAATGTCACAAATATGATAGTTGATAAGTAATAAAAGATAGGTAGTAAAAGAGTTCATATGTTAAAAATGAGTATCAAATGTAGAATTTTGTTCCAGAATTTACAACAGATTTAAAAATTTTAGAAAAATGAGTTAATGATTTTGCCAAAAAAAATTATTATACTGCTATCCATTAACAGTATAATTGTATTAATATATTAATAATGTGGACTTTTTTCCCTGACTTACTTAAAACAAAAACTTGGTAAATAAAATACATACTAGATCAAGGTAGAGTTTACACTTGATACATATTTGGTTACCATAACTAGAAAAAGGAATTATTTCCCCTCTTTTCCATGATAAAGAAAACTTTATTAATAGCACTCATTTACCCAGAAAGGAGGGCATGATCTTTCTATTCAGCAGCTGACGTGAAGGCATACAAGTGAACCAGCATACATGTCATAATCCCATCCTCTCCCTACCCCAATTCAAATAAAGGGTTTAGAAATTCAGGGTCACTTGTGAGCAGCAGCTTCTTGTCCAATGGTCACCAGTGAAGATAAGTACCTCACTGACACCTACGATCCTTCCAATGTCAGGGCAACCACTGAGTGGAACAGGTGGAAGATTATCTTCTAAAAATCCAATTTTGAATGAAGAGATATATGTTCTACCCCAAATTGTTACCTTTAAACCCCAGATAGTTCTGACTTGAAAACTGGCATCTACTTTGAACTCTTCTACTAAGCTGATAAATAAGTAGTGATCAAGAGTTCCCACTTAAAAACAAAACAAAAGAAAAACAAAATCCTCCTTTCCTCTTCAACTTACTAGGATGTTTTGACAATAAACTCAAAACAATTTTACAACTTCTCAGGAATAGGTGAGATACCAAACACAAGACCACTGGGTTGGAAAATACTCCTGATGTTTACATCTGCTCACCCAGGGGCAAATCACTAGTTCAGATCTTTCTTGAGACTATTTATTTGGCTGTTGGAAAATTACTGGATGAAAAGACACATTGTTAGTCTGTTTTGAATGATATTTTAGCACTAAAGCAGGATGTCTGGTGGCAAATTCTGTCGCGTTGCAAAAAAAAAAAAGCCACAACTTCTACTTTACCTGTGCTCTGGCCACAGCATGCATGGACACCTGGCACGCACACAGAGTCCTCCCACACTTAGAGTCCTACCTTGCTGACTGCGCCCCCTTGTCATCGTCAGAGCTCAGGTCCACATCCATGGTGTCTTCTACAGCAGGGGAAGCGGCCTGCTCTTCCTTCTTACTGTCCTGTTTGCATTTTTTTCTCCTTCGTTTTTTCTTTTTCACAGAACTTGGAGTGAAAACTGTCTCTGTTTCCAAGATTTGTGAGATGTCGGAACTCTGAGATGGTCTTTCATTTCCACCTGATTTCACCAAAAGGGAGTCAATATCTTTAAAGAACTGATCTTCGGTAGGAATTGGTGAAGTGGCAAGGTAAGCAGGAAGTTTTTCCTTAAAGAGAACATGGAGAAAGAAAAGTTGTCCATGGCAAACTGGACAGTGAATGAAAATAATAATACTTTGCATATCTAATTTCCACAGTGGTAGAAAGAATGCATAGTCCCTAAAAGTAAGAAAGTCACACTGAACTAGGGCACTGCTCGCTGTACTCTAAGTAGGTCTTTACTCTGTTGCACACAGCTCAATGTTAGCTCATTTTGGTCAATGTAACTGAATACATTTGGAGGAACCATTATGTCAAGTCAGCAAGGAACACATGAAAGCTATAATTAAAGCAGAGTCAATTAAATTCTATAAAGAGAAGTTCAAAGCAGAAGCAGCATTCCCAGGAGGTGTTAAAAAGCATTGTCAAGAACTTATGAAGAACAATAAGAACAGGACAAAGCAGAAGGCAACGACCAGGAACAACCTATCAGACAAAGGGCAGCAGGACAGGTAAGTGAAATGAGGAACTATGGTAAAATTCAGAGTGGTTAATGCTTGTATTTGCCAAATTAATTGAGGGTGGGGAAGGGCTATTCTAACAGAGACAATACTCTGTAACAAATGAAATTAGTGGATTATTAAATCAAAGTATTTAAAATATCCTTTTAGGAATTCAAAAGAAGAAAATAAGTCCCAATAGTTAGAAATAATTAAACTCTTATTTTAATATTAAATAAATGATCAAATCTGGTGTTCAGGAAATTAACTTCTTAATCATTTATTTCATTTCTTTGTATCATGGGGGAAATAGAAGGTAGGTAATAGAGATATAAATTAGCCTCAGATAATTCAGAATACTCAAGTTTTTATATACTAGTCCTGCAAATGAGTGGGTTTCCATAATTATTTTAAATTAAACTTTTGAACTTGGCTTTGGTAAATGTTATTATCCTGAAGCCAAAGTTTTGTTTACCCAAGCAAAATTTGTGCTCACCAGCAAAACACACCTACAGAGAAACTGTAATAGGATATTATTCTGCAAGACCCCAAAGCACCCAGGTAACAGACCGCGGCCTTTTAATTCAATGGTCTGTGTTACAAATAAAGTTTACTTGTAATCCTTAAAAAGCTGTTTTGTCTCTGGTAACGTTTCCTAGTTCTATTATAGCATTGTTTGTAGTGGGGGTAATGGAAATAACCTGAATGTCTATCAGTACAAGAATGGTTAAATAAGTTGTGGTGTAGCCATATGATGAATTACTGTGCAGCTATTAAAAGGAGTTAGAACTACTGACTTGAAAGGAATACTGATAACATATAGTTAAATGAGAAAAGTTTGAGAGAAACAAAAATGCAAATAAATAGAAGGGTTTTGAGAGTGGGAGCATGTTTTTAGTCATCTGATGCTGTTGAATGAATTAACAAATTTTTTATTATTATTTTAAAGAGAAGCACACTTTACCAAAGAAAATCTGGCCAATTTGGCTATACATGGAATACGAAAAAAAGGCTGGAAAGTTAATAGTCTTCAAGTTGACCTTGCTAAGCATAGTTGTAATCATCAGAACTGACCACAAGAACCAGGTAACAAACTATCAATAACCCAGTCCTCTCACTTGTTGATTTATATAAAGCCCAGTGTTATTTATTACATGTGAGTTTAAGAAATACATCGAAAATTTTTTATTCCTGTAATTACTCATTTATTGTTTCATTCTGCCTTTTGCCTCTGTCTCTGATGAGGAAAAATTTTGTTTATCCCAAGTAAATGCAAACAAAGTAATAAAAACAAGTAATTATGGTATTAGGAAAATGCTAGTCTGGTGAGGTTCCCCTTCATAATCATACTGTTTCAATGTTGCTTTACATACTGGTACCTAAGGTGTTGTCTTCTCTCTAAATTAAAAAATGCTCATCTCACTCTGTTATCGTTTATTTTTTGGAAATTTTTTTTGTCAATTTGACATCAAAACGGCAGTTCATGTTCCAAACCAAAAAGAGTAGTCCTGTGTATCCTTAATAACTTGAAGCTTATCATTTTTGCTGAGATTTTATTCTTTATGATGAAAGGATATAAGATTCCCATTAAACCCATCAAGAACAGTTTTCCTACCATTCAAATCAGTGGAAACAAATGAGGGAAGAAGGGAGGGATTGATTGATATTGTGTGTGTGTGTGTATGTGTGTGTGAGTGAGTGAGTGAGTGTGTGTGTTGGTGGTGGTGGTGGTGGTCATAATGGCAAATTGTGCTCTCTTGCTGAAAGAAGCCAAATTGAATAATAATTTATAAAGGATACAGGCCAATTAATGTAAATCCTTTGAGACTATAATAAACCAATTCATGTGACTATTCAAGGTTAGGGGTGTAATGTCCCAAATCAAAATGGTAAACATGTTTTCCAAGTTCAAAGGTCATGTGTATAAATAAACACACACGCGCGCGCGCGCGCACACACACACACACAGAGCCTGAAGAGATACACCTTGATTACTTAGGCAAAACTCAATTCAAGTCAAAGTGTAAATTGTAACAGAAAACTCATTAAAGTTAGAGAAAAAAAGATGTGCCTTTCCTTACAAAAAAAAGCAAATAAATACAAAAGGACTTTTGCATTCTCTCCGTACCTGAAACCCAGAGTGTAAAAAAAGTTCCTTATTTCTCCAGCTCCCTTCTGACAGCTTAATTCTTCAACCTAAAACTAAGCTTGTCTAACCAGCAACAATCATCTGTATAACTAACTATGAAAACTGAGTATTTCTGTTTTGTGACATGCACCAGAGGCCTGAATACAATGTGTAACGTGAAGGTAACAGACTAGGACTTACAAATTCCTCTTCAGTCTCCTCCACAAAGAAAGCTTCTCCATTGTCACCCAATTTCATGTGAAGATCCACTGCATCGCCGTTGATTTCTATATCAATCTAAGGGGAGAAAGAGTGTGATTTAGTAGTAAGAGTCTTTGATTCATGCAAAACTAAGCCTAAATTCTGGGTTCTCTAGCCAAACTTAGTATTGAGGTTCCTAGAGTGACAGCCCCAGAGAAACACTGCTACCTGCCCCACGTACCACCCCTAAAAAACCAAACAGACCTTGGTGGGGTGGGGAGGGGATGGTAACCAGGGAATGAAAGAAGATGTCTTATCATCTACTTCTGTAACATATAAACATTTTAATTAATTCCCAAATGTCATAAAATAGGGGAAATGTCATTGTCAATAAACATCTGTGTACTTTCAGAGTTACAACACAGAGGTAGCTCACAAATTTCAGTTACCACAGTATGTTAATTGTGAGTAACTGCAGAAAGTACAAACTTCACTGCCAGCTCTTCCATCCACAAATCACTACATAAATAACAGATACCCATCATGATCAATAACCCATCTTGTCATTTTTTCAGTCTGTCAGTGACTGGTCCCAGCACATGTTCGTTCAGACAACAAAGCACTTAGTTGTGTTGGCTCCTTGTCCCCCAGAGATAAACACATGAGATATTTTATAAAGATGGATAATTGAAAGAGGAAATTGGCCAAGATCAAAATATAGTAAAGAAACAAAAAGTAATTGTGTTGGAAGTAAAATTCAAATTGAATGTAAACAGTTACAGAAGAAACAGCTGATGGTGACCTTGCTGCCATTCAAGAGACTCAAGATGTACAACCAGAAGTGAGCTTACTCACACAAAGGAGGAAAGCGGTTCTGATGAAAAGGATGAAGATGGTCCAGAAAAAGTGACATTGGCAAACATTTCATGTTAAAGAAACTCTCAGAGATACTTCATGACATTGAAAAATTCAAAGGATGAAAAGTTGGAAGCTGTTCTAAACTTACAAAGTATGACAATTTGCCAAAACAAACAAAAAAAAAGGTGCTTGTTCCATATCACAAGTTTTACATCAAGAAGGCAAGCACTGTTAAAGTTACTCTTGGTAAGTTTTGACAAAGAAACACTTTTGTTCTCAATGTTTCTAATGTTTTAACCTGCAATGTACTAAATACTATTTTGCTGTTTTTCATTTTCCTATACATTTACAGCTGGCAGTAAGAATTTTTAACGTTGTGACAAACATTTGTAAAAGTTATGACAGAATCCTAATTTTTCTCATTGATTATAAAAAGCTTGCTTCGCAAAGTTTCAGCTTGCCCAGTCATTTTATGGTCTGTACTACCATGCAAAGTGTTTATTATAATAGTAACTACTACATCACTTAAAAATAATGTAGTTGTTTATCTCTACACTGTGTATAAACACTTTCACATACCTAATACAATAATAACTTTCAAGCCTTATGAATAAACTCGTAAACTCCAGTTTTAGACTGTTCAGAGGGTATAAAGGCCAACATATATAAAGATATAATATAGATATAAATAGAACAGTCCATAATCTAAGTGTTCTTATCTCTGTCTGGCCCTAAGGTGGGAACTGCATGGCCCGCCGGGTGTTTCCGAGTGAGGACCAATTATCCCTTCTGACCAGAGACTGAGTACTGGTTCACATCCAGTCACTGAAGGCAGCTCCATCTTCCCGGGGCCCAGGTAGTGATGGGATAAGATCACATTTAAAAAAAAAAAAATGAGTTGACATATGTTGTCAACATATATTCTAGGATTGAACAAAGAAGTAAATACATTGCGGATAATGGGAGGCAAGTTTCTCACTGTCAGAGAAAGAAGTTACAAATAAGGATGAGAAGGAACCATGTGGTGAGACTGGAATCAGAGGAATCAGTTTGAACTCATGATTTTTACAGATACATGTAGATGTGAGTATGTGTATATATTAATACATACACAGATTTTCTAGCTCAGCCTGCTGAGCACGCCTAGAAGCAATGACACCTCTGTTAGTAATGAGACACCTAATGATTTGATCCTTTAATTCTAGATACCATTCTCCAATAAAAGGAACCAGAGCTCCTTGGAGAAATAAAATAATTAATTCCAGGACTGAGGCAGGGAAAATAGATTCTTCTGGAATAGCTTATGGTGTCAAAAAGTAAAAAAGTGCTCAAAAAATGATGGGAGCATTTCAAAAGAATTCAACTTGAAGGAGCTATCAATTGCCAAATCTGGGACAATTTGAGCAACTAATAATGATAATAATGAATTATAACCCATAGAGTAAAATTAATATCCATGAGTTCATACTGATCTAAATAACTGAATAATTAAGTAAACAAGAGAAGATAGCTCTTCAATACAGTAGAATTTCAACTGAATAAATGGAGTAGAAAGAATGGAAACAGAAAACCACCATCTGGCAAACACCATGGTAGTAACTGCTGCAGGCAAAATTCATCGATGTTTGCTAAAATTCATGGATGGAAGTACAATGAGAACTAGGATATTTTTAGTTTCAATGTTTCTTCCAACAAGTACATTTACAGTAAAGAAACCTAGTAGACACCATTAAACAAGTGATCAAAGTTAACATCACTAGGAATAAGATACAGCAACATGATGGGCCTCCTGAGATGATGCACTGAGAAGGGCACACCATCACTCTGTGTTATTCTTGCCAAAATGAGAAAACATCACACAAATTCAAACTGAGGGACAACCTACATAACTCTTCTGTACTCTTCAAAAATCAAGGTCATAAGGAAAGACTGAGAACTGTTAGAAGACAAAAGCAATGTGGGATCCTGGATATGATCCTGGAACAGACAGAGGACAGTAGTAGAAAAACTGGTGATATCTGAATATGGTCTTTTAGTTAAGAGTATTATACCAATGTTAACTTCCTGGTGCTGATAACTGCATTATGGTCACATAAAATGTTAACATTAAGGGAAGAGGATGGGTGAAGGATTTAAGAAAACTTTTAAACTACATTTGCAACTTGTCTGTAAATTTAAAATTAAGAAGTTAAAATACATGTATATACGTAATATCATAAAAAAAAACAGACTGAGGAACTGTCAGAGATTAGAGAAGAGTAAGACAGGACAACTAAATGTTCTGTATCTTGACTGTGGAGCTGGTTTCATGGTGCATACATATGTTAAACATCAAATTATATCCTTTAAATATGTGTAATTTATTGTGTGTTAATTATAAAACAATAAAGTTATAAAAAAAGGATGAATAACATTATAACACAAAATGGGAAAAATAGGCAACTAAAAATTAAATATAAAACAAGTTTTAAAATCCTATGTAATTTAAGAAATGTTAATAAAATTAGTTTACACAAGGACTCATTTTCCTTTTATTTTTTTAAAAGGAAGCCTGCATAAAATAGTTTCCAGAGGATAAACATTAACACTAACTCATTTTCCAGCTAGCCTTCTTAATGTTTCATATTACTGTGAAAAAAACCTGGGTAGCACATGAAACCTAACTCTTCTAAAAGAAAGTACTGCAACAAACTCCTGAGCTAAGAAAAAATGTACTTACAGATAAGTTTTTAAATTTTTTTCATGATAAAGTGGTTGAAGCATCTAAAGTCATCTAAGATTTCTAAAGCAGCTTCAATAGCCGCTTCTTCTACTATCATAGAAAGACTTTTCTAACTTAAAAAGTTATGTGAGAACTGAAAAAGTAAAGAATACGCATTTTTTTCTAGACTAATAAGCAAGAGGGTAGGGAAAAACTGAATTAGATCCATAATGCCAAATTTTAGGTTTCTCGGGATGACCTAAATAAAATATTTAACTAAATCCATCCAACTAGAAGTTGGACATATAAAATTATCATTTGTTGATTTGTTGTATAAATTCTTTAAATTAAACTATACAAATGAAATTTTAAAGTTATTTTACCTTTAATAAAAACATAAGGTTTTTTAAAATTAGTTTCAGGTGCACAACAGTGTATAACATTTTTTTTTTAAGAAACAATTTTATGAAATAAGTACAAAATTTAAAAAATATATTAACAAATTCAAATTAATACCATCCTTCAAAATTTTCATCTTTGGAGGTTATGCATTTATCCAATATAGCTGGGAAAATGATATACTACTACTTTAGGATGCAAATTCAACTGTTTTTAAACCATTTTAGAAAAATTAACCTTTTCCTTTATAGCCCTTATTCTCAGGGATCAAATATGGTATTTCTGAATATGACTACTTCCTTCAGTTTCTTGATTTGACTCTACATGGAGTTTGGTTCTTTCTAAAAATTAAATCTAACATCAAATTGTGCCAACATTGAGGATACTTAAAAGAATATGCCATAAACTTTTTAGGCAACAAAGGAAATATATTAAAAATATTTCGTGAGATGGCACCAAGTTGGAATAAATGCTTCCCAAGGTGATTATTTTAAAGAGGACACTCATTTTGATGTACCACTTCTAGTAAACCGATTTCTGAAACACCACTCATTTCCATATGTTCATACCTCCTACACTGTAGCTTCATCTTGTTACATATATTGGGTTGTCGGAAAAGTCATGATGCATTTTTGCAACGAAAAACATAGGAAAAATACGTCATGACTTTTCCGACAACCCAATATATGACTGAGATGTTGAAATAGAACTGATTTACTTTTGAGAAATGTTGGCTACAGCAGACACTTGTTTTGGCATGCCATTCTTTTGGTAAGAATATCTCTGGCGTCTTGTGAGGATCTATTCGTTCTCTATTTCAGACCATCTATGTATTTCAGGTATGGCTTCAGAGAGTGGAGGTGGGACTGCTGTCCAAACCAGGCCAATATATTCCACCCTAGCTATTGTGCCTGGTCCCCAAGATATATGTGATCCACGTATGACAGAGAGACTAAACACTGACACTTCTGTAGGAAGAAGCAGCCCTCTTTCCACTGGGGTTGCTGAGTTAATGGGAAGTAAACCTGGAGGTACTGGTGGTCATCTTATTTTAAAAAGAACATACACAAAGTGAAGCAGAGCTGAGGGGTGGAGGAGAGAGTTCTGATAACACCTTCAGAGACGCTAAATAAAGCCCTGATTAATTCAAATGCCCCTGGACTTTAGTTAATGCAAGGCAATAAATTTCTTTTTTGCTTAAGCTAGTATGAGGTGGATGTTTGTCATCCACAATGGAAACTGTCTTGTCTAATATACTGGGTTATTTAACTTTGATAAGTAATCAGATGATCAGTTTTGTGTTAAATCAACAAAATTAATATATAAAAATATCAAGTACAGGTTTACCTTTTGAAAGTAAACTCCTGCTTCATGAAACATTGTGGGAGTATTGATATTCTATCAAACAAGAACATACCAATGGCAATGGAAAAATTATTATACTGCATCTCTTTAATCAGAGATGTTACCATTTTGAAAATTGGGGTTGTAGTTTAAAATGAATGAATTGCTTTCAATAATCAAAACTGACTTTAAATTCGACAAGTACTTAATCTGAATTGCCAGGGTATCTCAAGGCAGACATAGTTTCGTTTTTACTGTCACTGGAAAGCTGTGTTTTGGTCAAACAGCCAAATTTCCTCCCAAACATATCTTTTGGATTTCTGGGACAGCAAGGGAAAAGTGGAAAAGAAATTTTCTTTTCCTGTGTCTCATGGATAGACTTCTATTATAATTCAAGGTTTTGACGAGATATTTAACACAATGATTTGTGTAACCTTATACAGAAACTGTATTACTTTCTTAAATAGAGGCACACAGCATGCAGAAAGAGGTATCTTATTTGCTCAGTCACCATTTGCAGATACACAAATGCTTATATAAATCAGTTCTATTTTGAAATGCCAGAAAACTTATCTAATCGCATAAAAAACCCAGATCACAGCAAAAATAAATTAATGCCTTATAAGCTGTTTTACAAATAGATCCTTGCACAATTAATGGGAAGTCTCAGTGCATAAAGTTTGCTGTTGATTCTCCCAAAGCAGATACAGTCTGAAAGAACGACCAGAAAGAAAGAAAAATTCCAGAGAAGCTAACTGTGGCTAAACATTGTTTTGCAATGGAAAGTTTCAAAGTCACTAAATAAACTGCCAATTGCTTTTGGTTTCCAAAGGGTGACTCTGAACAGAGGCCAGGCCACACAAACCCTACCCCGCTGAAACATGGCTCTCCAGTGGAACAGATTTTGTTAACACCTAGAAAAATGAGATGTTTCTTTTGGTGGGGAGAGTATCTAGTTTGTGAAAGCCATAAATCTTTTCTTTCACTCTCAAAATAACAAGTTTAATTAAAATATAGGGAAATTTATATTTTAAAGAATAAGATAAGCTATGTGAAATAGTCAAAATCTGAAAATAGGTATTTTCAACTAATGCCAGTGGTCCTCTAACAATTCTGTTCCAGAAAATGGTGTGGATCTTTCATTATGCTTTAAAATCCTGACAAAATCTCCCTATATTGTTTAGGTAGATACTGTGGGGCAAGAGTAGAAAGGAAACTACTACTATGTACCTACAAAGTTTTATTACTAGCTTAATTTTCTGGCTTGATTGACATCAGATATACTGACAAAACTTCCAGTTGCTCTATAACCTGAAGGCTACCGATCTGCCTCACCCAGAAAGAGCGCAATGATAATACCAACATGGACCAGGTGAAGCGCCGTCCTCCATAACTAGACTGAAGAACAAAAAGGACAGCAACTTGTCTGTTCCCCTTCTCTGATTCCCAAGCGCTGTTCCCCTCCCCCGATTCCCCAATTAAAAACAAATAAATCTTAAAAAAAAAAGTAATACATAAAGGTTGATTTCTCATACCATTGTCGTTAACATCACACAGGTTTAAGATAAATAAAAGGTCCAGAGAGCTCACAGTAATGATTTACTCACTGCCACCATCTCACTTTTCACCCTGCACTCACCACTTTCTCTTTGGATCTCAGGACTCCCAGCTTCCCAAACCGAACGTGAAAAGGTGAACACTGATAGGTGCCATCCTGCTGCCGGACCACAATGACATCGATGCACCCAGACAGGGTGGCTTGGTTAATGCCTTTGTAGAGCTCCTTCACAGTGACAATCACCTGCCCGGCCAGCTGTCCCATATAATTCATGGTTTGAGACTAAAAAGGACAAGAAAAAAAATTAGATGCAATGTTAACACTAAATTTGTCGATCTAATGACAATGTCAAAGAGAAAAACAATGTGACTAAAACTGCATCACTCATTTGTGTACCAGATCATGTACCATTATCAGTAACTGTGATCATTTTGAACCCATTAGTCTCATGCTACCACTGTTTCTATACAGTTCCATGCATGGAGAATACTAGACTCCTTTGTATCTGAGAAGCTTTCCCAGCCAGGGTCTGAGACATGCAAAAATTACCTTTCCTTTCCCAACATTAAGGATAGTGCCAGCTGCCATTAGAAAATCTCCCTGAAAGATCAAAACCTGCACAGAACTCCCAAAGAACCCAGACTACCACCACTGCCCTCCGGGCCAAGACTCTTGGGAATTTGTCACTACTGTACCCACTCTGACCACAGCAGCCAAGCAGAAAAAAATGACCAAAGACCATCCCCAGGAGAAACCTGGTGAAAGACAAGTGAGAGCTGAATTTTCTATGGACTATTATTAATAGAATATTATGTATGGTTCAGACAGATGCTAGATTAAATAAACTCTAGGGAGTTAAGACTGGGTCTAACCTATTTATAACATTACTTTTAGGGAACATCCCCTCAATGCTTCAGCACAACACACTGAAACATATATTCATGTTCCACAAAGTTCAAAGCACAGAAAAGAGTTTTAATCTTGTTCCTAAACCACAATTCACTATTCAAATAAGGATCACCAGGATGTAAAGGGTTCTCCAGAAAGATTCAAATAAGGAGGTAAGTGCACCTGAGTAAGACTACAGGGTTGAAAGGAAATGCTTTGTCTCTGTATTCCACACCTGCTGTAGCTGCAGCTAGAACTGGCTCTATCTGACCAGAGGATGGGGTGCCCGCCACTTGTTATGCTATGAGGGGCAATAGGGGAGTCTCCTTGGTCCCCTCATCAACTCTTCCACTAATTAGAAAAACTAGCCCCCCATTAGCCCTAAGTTTGTCAAATTTCATTTCCAGTTGAGTACCACATTTCATTCATTACACACTGACACCCCCAGTATTCCTAGTATTATGTCAAAGCACGATCTGGCAAACGTAATTCTCCTGGGGATGGGAGGGATGCAGACCAAACAAGAGACCCTCCACAGCTCTGGCTAAGAGGCCGACTTTCACCGAACCAGGGAAATGACAGATTATTCTCCAGGTTATTCATCATAAGCATAACTGTCTCTCGAAACCCAGCTTTTGAGGTGCCTTGAGCTCAAAATTACACACTCAGAAAAGTTCCCAGAGATCACATTCTGTGTTGTCAGATGAAGTCCACAGCTGACTTGGGAGAAATAATGTCATCCCCTTGGGAACATTTAGGGGCCTATCAGGCCACCTACCTGTAGAGAAACTCACCCCACTCTTTACAGGTGAGCGAGCGCCCACTGGCAGTGCCTGGATTCCACTCAAACATTTTTTCTGCTCTTGTACACAGATGAATGTGTAATCAAGGCCCATCAGTTTTACACCATGAAGCACAGCCACAGTAATTTTACCCTGGAAAATTTTTTGAATATTTTAAAGCTAATGTTACCAAGGCCCCAAAATGCATCTATAGAAGAGCTGGCTTTGAGTGAGGCAAACTAGCTGCAGAACTTAACTACAAAAAACCAGCTAAGGTGGTGTCCCCTATGTGGAAAATTCTAAAACAGTTAAAAGTTGGTGATGATTTTGGTTTTAGAATAATTGACTTGAACTCAATTGTAAGGCCAAATTAAGCATATATCAAGGGCTGACTAATTATTTCTTGAATGAATAAAGGAATGAGCCAATGAACCATCAATAAATGACTACAAAAATAACAAACACATGTGGGGAGGAAATAGTGTTTCATCAGAATATTCATATTACATCTCATTACATTTTTAAAAATTAATATTTTTGAGATAACTGTAGATTTAAATGCATGTAGTTGTAATAAATATGCAAAAATATCCCATGTGTCCTTTACCAATTTCCTTCAATGGTAACATCTTGAAAAATTGTTGAATATCTTTTTATGTGCCAATTCACCATGAATTTCATTAAATTCGGTTTCATAAAAAAGCAGTACAACTCATTTAGAGAAAAAGGGAATAAATACCTTGTTTGTTCCTTATTTCTGGGGTCACAGTGTACAATTATAATGTTAAGAATGTTTCCAAACACAGAAGTGAAATGAAGTTTCGTCTTGTGCTCATTTTTTCACTGTCTTTTGTCAGAAGTATTTTTCAGCACCCTAGAACAGTCCATCAGTGTTTTCATATTCTGTAAGTAATACATGTTTATGACATGCTTTTTGCCTTTCCTGGTATGTACACTGATCAAACAGTACTCAAAAAGTCAATTCTTTATATTACTGCTTGACTGTTGGCGATTTTAAAATGAGTTTTGTTACAAATTAAAAAAATTCATAACTAGAGGCCTTTTCTTAAAAGAAAATGAAAAATGCACCTACATTTAGCCATAAACAGTCTTATAAACTAAATGGTAATAAGCTTACATAGACTAGAGCATACAGAATCCATAATTAAGTGTAAATAACTGCATCTATTCAAGATGATCTTAATTACCATGGTGAAAGGATGTGCTGTTATGCAAGAAAGTCTACTGTGTAAATGTTAGTTGCTAAATGTAGAAAACTACAGGCTGTCAAATGACTTTCTGATAGCAGATATAAAACAATCCCGTTAGTTACAAAGTCTAGGAAAACCAAAGTAAAGGAAGCCTGGTGCTTTAACCTTCTCTACACCCTTGGAATGAGGGACACAACTCTGCCAGGAGGGTCACCTCAACCAGGCTGGGGGAGGAGGGTTCCTATGGTTATGTTAAACAGCTTCCTCTTTAAGCAGAATCTAGCACTATAAAACTTTATTCCTACATGCCCAGTCCAGCACTAGCCATAATTAAGCTCAGTGAGAACAAAGTCAGGTCTCTGATCCCAGCCTGTCCTGGTCATAACCTGGGAAAGCAAGACTCTGAGCAGGGGCAGAAAAGATAGATGATTAGGTAGCCCAGTCACATGTGGGGAAAGCACCCCACCAAAGACATTTGCTTTTGAAATAAAACAAAAAATTTAAAATTAGTGAAATACTGGGCTGGCCGAGTGGCGCGTTGGTTAAGAGTTGGCTTGGGACTCCAGCTCTGAGCAGCAGGGACACTGGTTCGGATCCCACATGAGGGCCAGTAACGCTGCGCCCTCTACAGCTAAGATGGTGAACAACAGCTCAACCTGGAGCTGGGCTGCTGTGAGGTGACAGTGACGGTGTAGGCTGCAGCCCCTGCTGCAGTGGGCTGCCTTGAGCTACCGTGAGTGGCTGGCAGCCAGCGTGAGTGGTCAGCAGCCGGTGTGAGCTGCCGTTCAATGGCCAGTGAGCAACTGCCTTACCTGGGGAAGAGAGCAATGATAATACCAACATGGGCCAGTGAAGCAATGTCCTCCACAACTAGACTGAAGAACAAAAAGACAGCAGGTTGTCTGTTCCCCTTGCCCATTCCCCAATGCTGTTCCCCTCCCCCAACTCCCCAATTAAATCTTTAAAAATGAATAAATAAAATAAAATAAAATACAGTGAAATAATATATATTGTAAACTATTCATCGTATTTTATAGTGACTGATGAGGAAAAAAGCGGAAGAGATGGGAAAATGAATTCAAGAATATAGACTGAAATACATCAAGGGAGAAGGATGCAGAAAGAGATAAAAATTCAGAGAAAAAGCAAAGACAGAATACATAATCACAATGCAGACTGACAAATGTGTAAAGATGCCCACACAGAAAGAACACCATAGCATGGTAAGATGTTCACAGAGCAGCATCCCTATCTTCAGGCTGACGAGACAAAGAAAAGCATATATATATATATATATATATATANGTTATACCAATCATCATATAAAACTTCAAGCTAAAAATTCATGCCAACTCTGCTATGAAATGCAGTAAGATTTCAAATAACTATACTTTGAACCATTTAAAATACTGTTTTTGTAAAAAAAAAAAATTAAGGTGTACTTTACATACAGTAAAATTAACGCTTTGGTAGGCAGTATACAGTTTTAACCATACAATCATATAACAACCATAATCAAGATACAGAACTAGATCACCCCCCCCCAAAAAAAAACAACAACACCCCTATGACCATTTGTGGTCAATCCTTTCCCCCCATCTCCGGCCAACTACTTATCTGTTTTCTGTCCCTTAGTCTTGCCTTTTCAAGAATGTCATATAAATAGAGCCATACAATATCTAGCTTTTTAAATACGGCTTCTTTCACTAAGCATAATGCATTTGAGATTAACCAATATTGTTGCAGGTATCAGTAGTTTGCTTGATTCTTGGTTGTTAAGTAGTATCCCATTGTATGGATATACCAAAGTCTGTTTATCCATCTGCCAGTTGAAAGACACCTGGTTTGTTTCCAGATTTGGGGCAGTTACAAATGTTAAAGCTACTGAAAATATTTGTGTATAGGCTTTTGTGTGAACAAAATTTCATTTCGTCTGGATAAACACTCAGGAGTGGGATTGTTTAGATGTATTTTTGCAAGGTTGACCTTGCAGTTATTGTTTTTGAAAGATTTTCAGTGCGCTCAGAGGAATTTGCTATTAAAATAAATCCCTCCTTAAATTATTTTACCAAGTGGTGATAATTGAACTGTTTCACAAATTTGGATTTTCATATGTAGGAGTTGCATTCACTTACACTGGTGGAAATTCAAACTCTTCAATTACTCACACCGTTTAACATTTTAAACTATGTATATCCTAGACAAACCACATATAACCTAAGATACAATTCAGGTGTTTTAGTCAGTATTCCTCTTGGTGTTAGCCATGGGGAAGTGATGGGGGAAAAAAGAGGAGAGGGCAGGAACACTTATCCCTTCCCAATGCCATTTTACATACCTCATCTCATTTAACCCTCACAATTAAGTGAGATAAATGTTATATGCATTCCTTTTGGCTGTC